TTTTAGACTACAAAACTGCAAAGTCCAATCAAGGCTTGGACTGGGAAACACTACAAGCCTTTTCTGTGGTCTTCTTTTCTTCAGAATTCCCTTTTCTTCAGAATTTGAGAACGTAGTTACGCCACAATCAAAGCCTCGATTACCTGAAACAGCCATACAAAAGACCTCTTTGTGATTCGTGACAAAATCGTCTCGGATAGGTGTTTACACTGTCCCGTTTAAAAGCGGAACCGTGACGGTACAAAATTCGTTCGCTTTCAAAGCAGGGTCAAAACTGTTCCGGATAGCAGAGCAAAATCGTCACGGTTCCACAGTGCTAGTGTAAACGCAAGGGCGAACCGCGACAGTTTTGTCACGGTTCCAAACTTGCACGGGACAGTGTAAACGGGGTCTATATTAAAGTGATGAGGAAAATTCACATTTTGTGAACAAAGCAGGGATCTGGGATAGCCGCAAAAAGACATTTTCACAAATCCCAAAATTCAATACTGTACATTTTCGAAATCGATACTGCACGTTTTTAAATTAATACTGAACAAAGTGTGTAATACTGCACACTAAAATAGGCCCTGGAAAGAGCATTATCATTCAAGAAAGGAACATGCACAAATTACATAACAAAATATAGGCAACATTGGAAAAATCCTCTTCCCCCCCTTAATTATCTTCTAATTTGCATCATTTATTGATAATTATGACCGTAAACATTTGTGTGAACCCCTCCCTCCATCTTTGATTAGGTAATATGTGAAAGTTTCCATACCCAACTGCCAACGCATCGATATTCTTATCCAGATACAACCATTCTGAATGGAAAGAACATAGGATTGTACTCAGTTAATGCTTCAAAAGTGAAAACCCTCTCAGCTATTCGATATCAGGTATTTGAAATAATTGGCATTCGTCATATGTGAAGAAACTAATTTGCATTAGTCTTGGGTAATCACAAGTCTTGGGCGTTTTTGAAGATTTCGGAAAACCATTCAATAAAATTATACAATTACGAGGAATTAGCAAAAACTGGTGGAAATTTGATACATCATTGATATAGTTTTTCTCGATTTAATGGTGAAGCTAAACTAAACTGTAAAATTTATGACGCCGAAACCATAACCACGGCGAACTTTTTATGCAAACGTTTTTTCGAGACGTCGATTGATGGTTGTAATCAATTTTAGTTCTGTGCGAATATTGATAATTGCCTTTCGAAAGTTCTTTGAAAAATATAACTCGAAGCAAGGGCATACCGGAAAATTTCGCCATGTCCTGGTGAGCCGAGGAGCGATGGGTGGAGAAAAACTGGATTATTTTTCGCAGGTAGAAAGGCCAAAATTTGGTGTATCCTACAAAGCAGTGAGAGATCGCTTCCAGAATATTTTCGCCAACAAAAAGTCCAAAATAGAAGAGAAGAAAGTGCAAGTGAAATTAACCCTGAGCACACAGAATAACATGTTCTCCTTGCAAGATAAGGGTGCTTTTTGATGCAGCAATTGCTGATCAGCAAGCAGCATCCCAGCAAGTTAAAGAAAAACAAACAGCAGAAATGGAAAAAGCTGAAGAAATGAAAAGGAAATCAGTAGAAACAATTGGAGAAAGCAGTTCGGCAGAAAACCTTTCAAAATTATTCAAGAAAGAATTAGAGTTGGCAGTTGACTCCATCCGGGCTGACTCACAATTACGTTTGGAAACCAAGTTCAGACCCACTTTCCGTTTACAATACAAATTGAAGAGAGTTTACCCTGGGTGAACTCAACACAAGTTGAACCCGGGTAGCTTTTTGTAGTGTAAACCGGGCTTTCGATTGGAAATAATTTCACTTGCTTTCATTATTAAGCGTCGGACGAAGAGTTCAAGTGAATTTTGTTCCATTTTTCCGAGCTTTTTTGAACATTATTTCTTCCTTGTACTCATATTGTAGTTTTCTAAATGTATTATCTATCAGTTCAATTTTGCGTAGACAGAATATGCTCAATGCATTCTAAACAACAGGTTACACCATTCAATCTTTTCCTCTCTTGGGTACAGTTAAATGTTAGCTGTAAGTCAGCGCTGTGAGTTATTTTTTTTCGATCGCAGTAGATGCCTAAAAAATTCACCATATCTTTGAAACGCGCTGGGATTTGTAAGAGTTGTTAGTTTCTATAGACTAAACACTGAAACAACGAACGTCGTAGAGAAATCAGGTTTGTTGATTTCCTTGATTACTTAGATAAAACATGAATCAAAACTATGGACGAAAATTTGCATAAAAAGAAGCATAAATAAAGGATATTCCTGGGAATTCGGAGCCTGGAGAAATCCCGAACTAGGCAGGCTTAAGAAGGTACCTTTCAGAGTTCTTTTAAGGCCGGTTTACACGATCATATTCAGGTCACATTTGCATCATATATTTTATGTGATCACAGAATGTGATCGTGTAGACGACCTTACAAGTTGCTTGAAGCTGTACGGAGCAGCAAGATTATAAACCATATTTTCAATCAAATAGATTATGAACCAACATAAAAAACAGCATAGCATCAAACGCATCAAACCTGAAAACACATTCAAATTTCAAATGAGCAAATAAAATAATTGTTGATAACAGGGGCGGACTGGCTAATTATTTTGGCCCGGGCAAATTTTGATCAAACCGGCCCACAATAATAGCAAATAAAAAACTCCTCGGAAAATACAAGTAAATGTTAGTCTGTAAGGAAAACAAGTTTTTAAATTCAGTAATTTTGTGCATGGATGAATGCTGGTTAACAGAATATGGTTAACAGAATATGTTAAATATGTCATATGCTGACTAAACAGTAAATAAACAAAAATTGTAACTTCTTGGTTTGACTCTGATTCTAAATACAGGAACTTATATGTTGATAATGCGATCGTTCTGGATGTCATTTAACAGGTGCTTTTCTAAGAACATTAACATGAAGGACTCCAGGTTTGGCTGCGAAAAATCACTACGTAACCTGTTATTTATTTATTTAAAGTGGAAAGGCTTCTATCACACTCCACTTGTGACAAATAATTTTCTAATCCTCCGGAAAACCACAATGATTTTCAGCAACCCAAAAATATCAATTTGTCAATTTCTGACCCCAAAAAGAAAACATGGGCACCCCTGTTGAAATTTTATCGTGTAGCACCACACCCCTGTTGGGCAGGGGGTGCATTTGACTTATGATAGTGTAGGCCTAATAAACTTTCCATAACTTGTTTTAGTTTATTGAAAGGAGCAAGAGCAAGACCCTGCTGTTTTTTGTGATGTTTGTGGCTTTTGCTTGATAAAAAAGCTTTGTATCGTAGCTGAATCCTTTTTTAAGTCTCGCAGCTTTTCCTCGCGAAATTTCTGTGCACCACCTTTGATTGAAGTCTTCTTCCTCGTTCTACGTATGTCCTCTTCATTGCTCCAAATCACAGAGCAAATCGCTTAGTGAACTCTAGTAACTTTTAAATTTATTACATTAAGCAATAGCTTGTGCTTAGGCAAAAACATGACCAGCTTCAAGCAAAAGCTAAGTAAGAAGACATCAAGGCAGGTTAAAATCTTATGTATCGCCTTGAAACAGGGGTGTTACAGTATAGTATGTCGCCAATAAGAAAATACCGTCAAGAGAAAATATAACAATAACATGTTTCCTAAAGAAGTGTGTCTGGGCTTAATGAATTCATAATTTTAATGGTTCTCGGGTACTTGCATGTATATTTATTCTTTCCCACAATTCAAAATTCAAGTGTCTCTGAAAATTCAAGGCAAACAGATCAACGCGTGGGTAAACTTTTTAAGCTAATTTATTTTTTTGCACTTTTATCAGCCGGCCCTCAAACCGACCGGCCCTTCGGGCGATCGCCCGAATAGCGCGACCAGCCAGTCCGCCCCTGGTTGATAAGCACTAATACCAAAGATCTTTGCTAATACATAATAAGTAAATAAGTAACTTGTGTCCGCGATTGTTTGACCATCTGAATGGACATTTGTACCCTGAGCTGTGTCAAGTTTTTATTGGTTAGTTACGTTTGATTCTACAAGCACGTGACAATGTTTTCATGTAATGGCGGACAGCAATGTTTGATGTTCGCATTTCTTACTTCATCTTGTTTCTCTTTGTTTAAAAAGATAAGGCTCATAATTTTGCTGAACTAGTTCCAAAGTCTTTTGAAAGATATATGCTGGATTTTTGGAGGTTAAGGCTACCTGAAATGTTTTACAGTACATGTCCACGCCCATTTTAAGAAGATGGGCCTAAGACGAAATAGACTCGATACAGCTGGAAAACTTCAGAAATTTATGCAAAGAAATGAAAAATCAAGATGACATATTTACTGTTGCTTAAAAAATATTGGGTAATTAGCTTCGTATTGGTGATCCACATCCAAGTTTCAGAATTTTTGGACTACAAAGAGGGAAAATCGATACACGAGTTCCAATACTTTCCAGAGAGTGAGAGAATAAGGCTCAGAGAGGATGCTCGTAAAATGTTCTACTTTGGATATGATAATTACATGAAGTATGCCTTCCCAAAAGATGAATTGAATCCAATTTATTGCACTGGAAGAGGCCCAGATTATGAGAATCCGTATGTGTGTTACCTATTGCTAATGAGTTCGTTTATTGTTCATTGACATTGTATCTCATCCTGCTATTTTATAATTGTTGCTGAACAACACCAAAAACTATACTTCTATCAATTCTTTTGCTTGGATTTGAAAAATTGAACGATATAGTATATTTCTTATTTCATTGTTATGCCTTAATTTTCATGAATGATTTTCTTTTCACAGCTCTAATATAAATGTAAATGATGCACTGGGAGATTATGCATTGACACTAGTTGATTGTCTTGACACTCTAGCAGTAAGTATGTTTCCAAAAATATATCTTATGTATTGTAATGGAATCAAAGCTACAACCAGGAGCTAGAATTTTCCCTATGGTTATGGAAGTTCTGAATCCCATGCAATGTTACATTCATTTTCTGATCTTCGTTGGGCTTAAGGCCGGTTTCCACTTGAGCCAAATCTTCAGCAAATTTGTCAGTGATTGCAATATCTTTTGTTCTTTCTAGGCATAGACAAATTCGCTAGCAAAATGTAAAAGCTTGAAAGAGTTCAACTTCCTAGCAAAACATGACACCCTTATGAATGGAAACACACTCTGCGAATTGGCTGAAGAATTCACCGAAGAATTCACTCAAGGGGAAACTGGCCTTTGAAGCCAAGAAATCATATTTTGTAAAATGATTTAACCATAGGTACTTGCAAATAGGGTTGCTACAACAGGGAGGGAATTCTGGGCAAACCAAAGGGGTCTTGAGCAAATTGTTTAGTAATAGGGGCCCCAAAAGCTACTAAATTTAAAATTTGTTATCAGTTCTAAGGGGCCCCAATCTTTTTCTCCTAAAAGGCCCTGGGTCGCTTGTTGTGTAATTGCTCGCAAAGTACTTGGCATAGAAACAATTTTTCAAGTTTTCCCATCTGTAAATTTACAGTTAAACCAAAGTCTTTGTTAAGCAAATAAAGTGCAGCTGTGTTGCTTAGCAGATGAGAAAAGAACAAGTTTCACATACTACGCCAGAAATTACCATGGCAAAAACTTTTCAATGTGGGCATGTGTTGCTGAATCTTGCAAACAAGAACTATTGTTTTTAAGCCTGTCATGTACAAAATACTAGACAACATACATTAAAAACATGTGTAAAATAGCCTATTTTATATGAGAGACTATAGACCAATAAGGTTGTTGATTAAATGATAAAGAATGAATTGAAGTGTTAATATATGTAGTGCAAAAGAACCAACAGAAAAATTAAGTAAATCAGAACATAGTTATTGAAGATCTAAAATGATATCATAACAGAAAGCTCTAAAGGTATTAATTTTTAAAAGGTTAGAAAGTACCTTTCTATAATTATGCATTTTATAAGAATGAAGACTCTAAATCACAAAAAGATACTTGTAGAATGAGATGTAATTCTTTAGAAGGAGGATGTCAAGAATTGAAATCTCAGGAGTTGACATCTTTGGTTTTATCACAATTATTCCTGAAATATGACTCAAATATTTCTTTATTAGATTATTGGAAACAGAAGTGAATTCAAACTTGCTGTAAAACGGGTTTTGAACCATGTATCCTTTGATAAAGATAATGTTGTGCAAGTTTTTGAAGCTACAATAAGGTCAGTTTGCTTTAATGTGAGTAATTTGCTTTTAGATTCACATTTTCAACCAATATTCTATGTACCAATGAAAGTTTTAGGGTTTTCAAAGAGAAGAGTTTTTATGAAGACCAAGACAATAAAACAAACAAAGGCTAGCAGTTAAAGTTCCATTGAACAGTGTTTCAATTTGTAGTTTTTTTTCTTTTTCCTTTGTTTTCATTCATCATTGTAAAAGTTGATGACAATTTTGAATAAAGTAGCAAGGAAACAAATCTGAAAAAGGCTCTCACCATCATGTCCATTTAATGGTTTTTTAAGCAAAAAGCTGTTTTTTTAAAATATGGTATGTCTACAAATACAAATACTGTTATAGAATTTTAGGGTATGCACCACTGCATTTTGCTACAAGTAACCTAGATTTGTGAAAAATTTCTTTTGACATTTGTTTTATTATCTATCCAATTTGTAAGTGAAGATTTTTGTGGAATGTTTGAAATAAGCATCAAGATTTCATTTCATTTCTGCTAGATTTGTACACGATTATAAATACCCTAATTCTTCTTTAGAGTTCTAGGTGGATTAGCTGCAGCTCATTTGTTGATAGTTGATCCAGATAAGCCCTTTGGGAATATCAAACCACTTGGCTATGATAATGAACTGTTACATTTGGCTCATGATCTATTGAACAGATTGCTTCCAGCATTTGAAGCAACAAACACTGGAGTTCCTTGGCCTAGGGTAAGTGCATAACATCAATGGATTTGTTCATTATTTATTGTTTATTATTATGTGCTTTGAAGTGGAAAACACAGCAGTTGCTATTTCTAATAGTAAACTTAATGTGATAGGCATACTGGTTTACTGAAAGGATAGGATATTTAAATAGGGCAGCAGTCAAAGAGACTTAATCCTCTTACACCAGAAGCATTTTAGGATGATACATTAAGATCTCTTATTATTTGAATCCAAGTTAAGTCTCACTGCCAGTGCCAGTTACAGTCATGTACTATTGTTCTTATTTCTTGTTAAGGTGAACCTGAGACATGGAGTACCAAAAGACTGTTCCCAAAATACCTGCACTGCAGGAGCTGGCACTCTTCTACTTGAATTTGGTATTCTTGGAAAACTACTTGATGATCCAAATATTGAAAATGTAGCCAGGAGAGCTCTAGATGCACTTTGGAGTTTCAGATCAAATGTCACTGGTCTTTTTGGTAAGGTAATCCTGAAGCCTTTTGAACAAGAAAATTTCAAAGTGACAGGAATGTTATATAATGTCAGCCCCCACTACCATGTTTTACATTTCTGCTTTCCTTTTCAATTTATCAGTATTCAGTTTGCCATCCGGTGAAGACATTATAGAAATTTAGAATTTGCCATTACTCTGGAATTAAATCTCTAGACAGTCGCAATACCTTAACTGCTGTCTTCCCTTGTCTTTCTCACCCTTGATTTGTCTTGATTCTTGATCTTTGGTATTATGCATCTCCATCTCACACTTCAGGCCATGCTGGGAATAAAATGGCAGGGGTGCAATGAATCGCACTCCTTGTGGTGCCAAGGCGTGCAATGGTGTGCTATTGCACCAAAGTACTTAATAATACAGTCAGCTGTATAAGGACTAGACTACATAACTTTATCATAAGAAAACATAAGCAAGGCTAGTCCAATTAATACATTTTATCAAACAAGCTTTATTAACATCAAACCCAACATATTAAAGAGAAAAACATTAACAATAAGGTAGGTTAATTAATATTTAATCCTGCAGTTTATAAACCCTTCTGGTCTGCTTCTCCTGACAATCTGGTTCTCACAATTTAAGAATTCTAACTGTGTTCTCAACATAAAGAAAACTTATCTGTTGACTAGTGTTAGAACGAATTAAATGGTTAATTGCACGTTTATATTTTGTAAGAAAGCTACAGTAGCTAAATCCTCACAATTCAAAGTCTCTTAATTTTGGAACATTTTTGCCCACATTTTATTAGTAAAAGTTTCTAAAATGTTTTGTATTTGCATACAGATTAGAAAAATGCACATAAAGTAAACTGTATATAGAGGAATTGTGAGTCCTGAGAAAACGGGATTTTACTGATCGCACTTGCAAGATACACTCGTAAACCACAGTGTAATCTGGGTCAAATCATTTAAAGCTTAAAGATCAATAAGCCTGTTTAAGGTTACGGTAAACGTTTTGAACACGAAAATTGGTTTTTCCTTCCTAAAGGCCAAACGGCTCAAGGAATCTGGATAAACTTTATATCATTCGATGCACAAGATTATGGCGTATCTAGCCAGATAAAAATTATTGGCAAATAATGTTAAATGTTATTTTCCATGCGAATTTACTGGTCAAAATATGTACCACTTCAAAAGCTATTATGTACCCTTGCGTTTGAGGTAACAAAATCTGACTTAGACCAGCAGGAAGTGCAGGTCCTAAGCTACCAAAGTGTGTCTCAGATTTTTTAAATTCCTCCTCTTCTTTAAACTATACCCTGTCAAAAATTGGCAAATTATTTGTCCACCCTCCCGCAGCTGTATTTGGGTATAAAAGACGGACCAGAGAAAATAAAAAAATTTTGAGACACACTTTGTTTGCCCAACGTCTGCCCTGGCCGTGTGCAAATTTTCGAGCCATTCGATTGGTTCCTTGGGTACATAATAGCTTTTTCGTACCTGCATGTAGAGGAATTTCGAGTCCGGAGAAAACGGGATTTTACTGATCGCATTTGCAAGATACACTCGTAAACCACAGTGTAATCCGGGTCAAGTCACTTGAAGATTTAAGATCAATAAGCCTGTTTAAATAAACACGGCCGTACATTGGATATATGGATGTGCCATGCGATATTGTAAATGAGACATGCGACCACGACCGCAAAGCAACGATAATCGGCTTAACAGGTCAAGAGATTTTCAGGCCTCAACTAAAAGTTTTGATAAAGAAATTATGGAAACCTTCGTTTACATGGGATTTTTTCCACTTTCAAAATTTCTGTTTGTTTCAAATTTGGTATCATTGTGTGCCTTGAAAGTTCAGCTACTTGAATGTGAAAAAATCGAAAAAATGATGTTTTCATCAAGAAAACGTTTACCGTAACCTTAAATAAACAAAGCCTTACATGTGCCATGGGGTTGTGACTACAGTGGAATCCCAATATAACGAACTCTGAAGGGAACCAGAAAATATTTCGTATATCGGGAGTTTGTTAAACCGAGAGATAACGTTTTTTGGGGGTCCTTTCGCAGTTCACGCCTAAAAAACCTGTGGTGGGCTTGTTTAGGCTATCTCCAACCTCTGTGCACATGTACAGCCATACATGTACCATTTAACTCAAAAAACCAATCTGAAATCAAATAATACAACTGGCTGGTCATTGAAAATGAAAATCTTAATGTTCCTTTTATAACTTGGGACCAAGAGATTGGCAAAGCTGGTATCACTTCGCTCCTAGTTGGTGCCTGAATGATTTGTTCAATTACTTCACATTCTTATTTGTCTTTTCTCCATCTGGGTCTCTCAATAAAGTTTTGTCGTCTCTCATTGCCAATGTCTCATATGTAAAAAGGTATTCAGTAGTGTCAATGTACTCATTTGCAGTAATTTCTGACGCAATCAAACTTCATCTTGTGGTCTGAGTCTATCAGCCAGTACTTGAAATGTATCATCGGCATGTTTTGCCGATTATAAAAATGATTTCTCCCCAAGAGAAAGTGATAAATAAACACCGAAAATAAATAAACAAAAATAACAGATGAAAAATTTATGAAAGTTCGTTATATCAAGGGTAATTATGATGAAGGGACCTAAAAATGGTTCGTGATAACGAGAGTTCATTATATCCGGGGTTTGTTATACCGAGAGAATTTGTAAGGAGTTTGTTACGCAGAATCCAAGGGACCAGGCATTTAGTTTGTTATACCGGGAAGTTCGTTATATCCGGGGTTCGTTATATCGTGATTCCACTGCAGTTATTGCAAATGAGACAAGCGACCACAACTGCAAAGCAAGGATTATCGGCCTAAAAGGTCGAGCGATTTTCAGACCTCAACTCAAAACTTTGATAAAAAAATTATGGAAGCCTTCGTTTACAGGAGTTTTTCGCCACTTTCAAAACTTCTGTTAGTTTTAGACATGGTATCATTGTGTGCCTTGAAAGTCCGGCTACTAGAATCTGAAGAAATCGAGAAGTGGATGTTTTTATCCAGAAAACGTTTACCATAACTTTAAGCAAATTAGAATATTCGCCAAATTTTTCGTCAAGTAGAAATCAAATAGAAACGATTGCGTGATTATCACCTTTCGTTCATAGTTGAATTATGATAAAAAAATTACATTGGGCCATATTGGTCACTTTGGAATAAAGTGTTCAGATTATTTAAGGCGTGCGATAAACTGCACTTCTGAGCAACGGAAGGCGTGTGCCAAGGCGTGGGTGTGCGATCGCACGCCATTCCCAGCATGGCCTGCACTTTGGAAGGACAGCCAAACTAGATCCTATTATTCCCGTAACAAGAGTAGTTTGATTTGAGTGCTTTTCTTGTATCCATGTTGATAACAGGCCCATTGTTTTACTTGGAGCCTACCTCCATGTAATCTTCTAACCTTCATCACCCTTCTTAAGAAGCATAAGTGTCAAAAAGACACCCTGAAAACCTTTTGCTTAGATCTCTGTATGAATATTTTTTGTAGCTTGGAATTTAATCTCGTTCTTAATCAGTCTATTTCATATACAGTCTCATATTTTTTTCATGTAATAAATTTGTTATTATTGTAGCTGTATTTAGTTGTATTGTAGTTTCTATTAAATTGTATATAAAATAGATTTATGAAAATGAAAAATGAAATGAAAAAAAAAATTAAATTCTTTTTCTTAGGAAATGTTTTGGATGTTCAGACTGGTGAATGGCATGGTAAGATGAGTGGTGTTGGGGCAGGAGTTGATTCATTCTATGAGTATTTACTAAAGGTGATTGTTAAGCCCACTTTGGTTGAGCCTTATTAAATATGCTTTTACACAAGATGATCGTGTAGGAATTTAGGCTTTAATTTTTCTTATTTTTAGCCGTTTCACAACCTTGAAATTTTTCTTTTGGCAGTTTTCTTTAAAAAATGGTACATCAAATGAGCTCACATGTGTTTTTCTTTTAATGTTTGATTTGTAGCAAAGATTTTGCTGAGGTATATTCAAAGTCTTTGATTTTGGCATATGAGCTATCAAATTAACATAATATTGAGGCTGATATTATCTAATTTTTTACAGAGTTATATTGTGTTTGGAAATAAAACTGATCTTCATAAATTTAATGGTATTTTCCAAAGCATCAAACAACATATGAGAATGGGGTGAGTCTCAACTTTAGGAAAAAATCCTTAAGAGGTCTATCTAGAGCTTTCTTTGATGCATTTTGTAAACCCTCCTTTTCAAGTACCTTTTCTGTCCTAACCTTTTTGAAAGACGAACCATACTGTTGATGACTATAGATTCTGGTTGTTTTTTAATTAATGATACAAGTAAACATGAAGAGTGACTTTATCCATGAAACCCAATAATTTTTCATTGATCGAGAGTATACAACAAATGTTGTTAATCTAATCAATTCATCCAATTTATCCAATTCATCCATTACCCAAGGTTGAAGCTTAAAACGACATACTGCACACTGAATAAACTACATCGCTTATTTTCCATTCCTTTCTTAATGGAGGGTCCCGGAGGCATGTTTCTTCGGGAAATTTATAAAACAATGGTTGTTAAAAGCAATGGTACGGGGTCACCCAAGCCAACTTAGCTAAAACTGAACCAAAAACGTGTTTTAGATATCTTTCAACAAACAGGAGATTATGAATAATCATTATTGCTTTCAAGTCTCAAATGTAGAAAACCTTTCGGAGTCATGATTTGTGTAGAAGCGGTAGAAGTCATGATTTGTGTAGAACTTCCATCTTGCCATTGTTACCAAAGGTTTTATTTTGTTTTCAGGCGAAAATTTTGTAACAATGGGACCGGTGAAGTTCCATTGTATGTCAATGTTCATATGGACAATGGTGATATTCTGAATACATGGATAGACTCTCTACAAGCTTCCTTCTCTGGAGTCCAGGTACGTTATCATTGAAAACTCTATAAACTGACAAAAATGATGACCATAGGTCCAAATGTAGGAAGGAATCAAAGTGTGTCTAAATCTATAGTGACGACAACTCAAAAGCCATTGGTCAAGAGCAAGATCGCCTTTTCGTAAAGGCGTTTTTGAATCTATCCATTGTTTTTTATGTACGCGTATGCGGTTTTTTAATAAAAATTAATTTAGGAACAAAACTGCCATCTTCATCATACATTTTCTTTCCTGACACAATGAAGCTAAGCAGTCGACAGTCTTTTTGGCATTTGTCGATTAGGCAGCGTTTTTGAGCAGAATTCCTTCCAGCAATTGAAAGGATGACTGTATTCCAGAATCACTATATTTCTTTATTATGTTAACAGTGCGCCATATTTTTCTTCTATCCTGAAAACCTACGCAGGTCCTGGCCTAAATTATTGTAAAAACGAATTGTTTAGTCAAATGTGCCCCTCCCGGCTACAGTGAAATATCCTGCGCCATTGTGGCTGATTTTGCAGCGCATTATTCAAGCTAGCAATTAGCTTAACTTCATGCATGTTATGTCAATTTTCTATTTAGTTCAGTTAAAGTATATGTATTTTAATAATGTTTCTATGTACACAAGTGATGAAGCAAAATTCAAGGATACAAATTAATTTACCTACCGGAACAGGAAATAAGTATGATATTCAGATAAAAAGAGAGACAGCATGAATGGCATGGAGTCAATTTGTGAAGGAGGAGGATTCTCGAAAAGTATTTTTCAATTTTTGTTGTTGCTATAACAAAGTAACACTTTGGTGACGATTGTTATATTCAAGTTAAGTTTACTTCTTCTCATCCCAAGAATCTATTTATTAAGCTGCATTTCTGTCTTCTCCTTAGGTGCTTCGTGGTGACATCGAAGAAGCAATTTGTAGTCACGCCATTTATTACGCGATTTGGCAAAGGTACGGTGCATTGCCTGAGCGGTTCAACTGGAAATTCAAGGTCCCTGAAGTTAGCTTTTACCCCTTGCGACCTGAATTTGTAGAATCAACGTATCTGCTATACCAGGTAAGACATGTTTTGATTAGCCAGTTAGCTATCGATTGTGTAAGAAGGAAGAACCGCAGGATAGGCTGTCTGCCGGATTCTGTGAATCTTGCAATGAGTAATAATACGAAAGATATTTAGGAACAAAGCAATACGACGACGAGAATCCAATGTAACGAGATGAAATTTTCAAAATAAATTAAATTTGAGAAATACTAATATTTCGCCCCGGCAAACAGGGCTTCATTGTTGTCGGTTTATCAAAGTCGAACAGAGAGTACAAGTAATATATTATCTCAGAATTCAGAAACCAGACTTTTTTGAGAATCGAATGCTTGCAGATCTGCTATACAAAAGCAAATATGCTCAAAGTCTTTTTCTGATATAATGCTTCGACAATTGCTGCCAGTCCGGGCTAAGTTTAAAACGAGCTGAAAATTTAACTCATTTATTTTGCTATTCGGTAGAGTCCAATAATTACAATTCTTCGCGTAGCATTTTGTTACAGAAACCGTATCACTTCGCTGGTTAGTTACTTAGATTCCGTCCACCACTCACTCCTATATGTACTCACTCTTCGTACATAGAAATTATATTTTCGTTTTTACCTCCCGTCTACATGACAAAGATGAAATAAAACTGAAAATGTTTAAATTGGAGAATGCTTTGCGGAGTAGAATCTTTTGAAAACGCAACGATTTTAAAACTCATTTATTCATGTCAGAAGTAAAATTTGTATTGGTTTTTATTGAGAAGAATAAGCATTTTTTTGAAAACATAGCTTCATTGGCCTGGTCTCCAATAGCTTCTTCCTTAAAGTTATTCTCTTTTTGCAAAATTTAAGGAAACAATGCAAATTTAGCGGAATTTTCTAATGACAACTGAAGATTTTGACTTTAACATTAACTTTTAATTTTCCATTTGCAAGGCTACAAAACATCCATTCTACCTTCATGTTGGATCAGATATATTGACAAGCTTGGATGCACATACCAAAGAAAAGTGAGTATCATGCGAACCTGGGATTTGTAAGAACAATTTAGATCTATGCATAAGGCAAGGTTGCATCTTGGTGCGAGGGCACAGTTTGTTGTTCGCTTGCGTTGGACCAAACATCAGATGGAACAAATTTCGATATTTATCTGATATCTTACCGAGCAGATCGTAATCACAGGATTTTTGTCCTAATTGTTTCCAATAACTGTAATGATTAATAAAATACCACCCTTGCTTAAACACTGTTCTGAAATAGACGCTGCATATTTTTCTAGAATTCAACAAAAATTTGTGCTATCTGTCTATAAGTGTTGCTCGATAAAATTGATCCCTAAAAATTAGTCTAAATAAACCTGAAAATAGTATAAAAATCAATGAACTACTGTTACTATGAATTTGAAATTCGCACTGTGGCAAAAAGTGGCAGCCATTTCTTTCAATAAATTGACGGAAAATTTTTGTTGAATGTTCTGTGAATGCAATTAGAAATTTTTAAGCTTAATTTTGTATTTGGACCCTTAGAAATGAAGAATTTGGACCCTTAGAAATGAAGAATTTGGACCCTTAGAAATGAAGAATTTGACGTTAGATAGTTTCCTGCAGGCTACCTTTACATTAACTAGTGAGTTAATGTAGTCTCAACATTCCTTTAGAACCTTGTAGAATCATTATTCTAATCAAGAGACAACGAGTAGTAAATTCATGTGTGTGCTATTTGAATGGTTCAATGTATAATGATTAAATGTAGTTTATATATAGGTTTTATGTGAATAAGCGATTTGTACTGGTACTCTATGTAGTTGATATGTATTTTTTATTTTTAATGATATTATAATGTGTTTTTGCAGATGTGGCTACGCGACAATCCACGATGTCCAAGACAGATCACTTGAAGATCGCATGGAAAGCTTTTTCCTAAGTGAAACCTGCAAATATCTATTTCTAGTGAGTAGCTCAATGACGTATCTTGCTTATACTTTGTGACGAATTCTTGCATGCCAACAGAGATAAATCCTTTAATGCAATAAGAAACTCACTTCAAAGCTAACAAATTGTGTAATAAAATGCAGAAAATGATATCTTTTATAGTTGTTTTATAGCTGTTTCTTTCGATAAAACTTATTTTGCGATAAACAATCACACTGTCTACAAGAACACTTGGCAAAAAATTCAAAATTTTCGGATGTTGTTTGCATTTCAATAAAAAATGCCGCGATTTCCTTCATTATGATATCGCATTCAATTTAGTTCCGAAAATTATAGTTTAGACGGCGTTTGCCTTGCAAATCATGAAAGCAGATCAAAATAAAGTCCTTTGAAAAATTCTTTGCAGGAAAATTAAAACTGATAAACCTTTCTTTGCAGTTGTTCGATAAAGACAATCCTGCCAACAAAGATGCTTCGAACTACATTTTTTCTACCGAAGGACACATCTTCAAGCTAGACAGTCTGTATAGAGGAGATAATGAAAATTATAGAAAAAAGCACCCCTTACCTTCGTCAATTTTGCCGAGTGTTACCCACAGTCCGGTTTTTAACGCTACACAGGTAGGAGTAGTCAAGTAATAATCTTTTCTTCAACTTTGTACTCATTTATAATAATCATAGGGGGCTTTTTTTAGGTTTACAGGTTCATGGGCCCGACCCTATATCTACGTGGGTTTTCTGTGAATTTGGCACTGGGTTTTCTGTGGATTGCGGCTTCAGGATAAGATGGGTGTTGCGTCTTTCGGCGTAAATTGGCTTTATGCGCTTGCGGGTTGAGGCTTTTTTATACGCACTTTTGCGGCTTTTAGGCCCCTTACAATATGCCTTCATTGTAATGAGAATATATTTTTCTAATTGTTCTCTTATCTTGCGACAAGGGTGAACATATTTCACGAGCAACCCCCAAAAGCGCCTACTTTCGCTTAAAATAGAAAGAAGTTCTATTTACAACCTTCTTATCACTAATTCTTTCGAGAATTACAAAAATTACGATAAGTGCGAGCAAGGTTTTATGGACGTTGTGACGACTCCTTCTGCATCCTTCTGCAACGCACCGCTTCATTTATCTGTTGCATTTTGGATTTGTCAAAAATACTTCTTTCATCAACTATTTGACAATGAACATTTGCAACAGAAGTCAGTAAGGGATCTCATGAATCGTATGCAGAGACAGAAACCTTTCGTTAGATTGATTCTGAATTATGAATATGGGTGAAAACCTCGCTTTGAATTATTCCTTAAACCTCGCTCTGATTGCTGCGACAAATTCCTTATAAACCCTCTGCATATCAATCTTCCACTGGAAAAACGCTTGTAACGAGAACAAACTTGGTTGGCTAAGTTTTCGTTGCCTGTTCTGGACCAGATAATAACTTCGTTTTTCCTTATTAATATAATACTTTTCTCTATTAATGGAAATTTGTAGACATATATTGTTTCTACTTACCTTCATTTTTTCTCACTGTATTCATTTTCAGTGTTCGTCCTTTGAAGACTTGCGGTTTCAACCTTTTCCTATTAAAGAAAGGTATTGGACGCAGATAGAAGAATTTGTGGGACTTCGATGAATTTGCATGTTCTTAATATTGTTTAAAATATTTTTGGAGTTTTGTACTCTCGTTTTGATAAATCATTCAAAGAAATTGAAATAAATTGTTAAAGCACTTTTATGAATCAAATGCTCACATTGGTAAAGATAAATTTTTATGAAAAGCCTGGCTATAAACTTGGAGTTGATCTTTTTTTCTGAACGTTTCTGCTAACTCTTTCAGTGAATCTTTTGTGAAAGAACATTCCGGTTAGCTTAGGGTTTTGCAGGGATTGTTTTGGAAAGTGCATCACCAGTAGTGAGGTAATTTATATTTGTTCAACAATTGGCCAAAGTATCTTTTTTAATTGAATGGTCCTCACTAGCGACACAAATGAATCCAAAGGATATCCTCGCCGTGAAGGACGGGCTGATCTTGAAACAAACAAACAAGCAAAAGTCCACGGGCCGCGACTTCAATTAAAAACTTGGTTAGCCAACAAAGTAGTAGTTGTCCTCTTCCAACCCACCCCCCCCCCTCCCAAACTACTTTGTGGTAAAATGGTTTCTGGTGCTGTTTTACCAGTAGGTTTTGGTTTAGCATACTGTACTTAGGAATATAGTCCTTTGAAAAATTGATATTGTATCTAAAAATAGAAAAAACTATTGTAGGTTTTGTTGAAATATTCTAACATATTAGTAAATGCTCTTGCTTGAATTAAATCTAAAAAGTAATAAACAGCATAAAACATCTATGGATTTCTGAATTATGGGTACAACTGGGTACATATATTTTTCATCATGTTCTATCGGACCCTTATTTTGACGTTTTATGCTCTGAGGAGTGTCAGACGAAAAAGCTTTTAGCCAAGATGTTATAAAATGTTTCCTTTTTTCAAAGCCATTTTCAAGTTCTGTACCGCCAAAAAACTGTTCATATAAAGTTGCCAAATCATTGCTTCTTGCCAAGAGTCAAATTAAGATCTATTTATGACACAAAAAGCTACTAATTACAACGACTAAAATGAAATCAACGCTTTTTAGTATATCACAGAGAAAGAAGATGATCGCATGTCCTTCGTTCTTGAATGTGATATTTTGCACAATCTTGTTTAGATTTTTAAAACCTTTTTCAACAATACACCAATTCAACTAACAACCTCGTTTTTAAATATCTTCAAATATCTTGTACAAAATTTTTGACCCCAGATTCGGATTAGGAGCAAGAATTGTTGACTACTTGGAAGCTTTCATTAAGTTATTGCACCCGATATTGATTTTATGACGACATAAAGATAAAAGTTTGGTAAGAGATTTGACTGTGATTGGCGAGGGGGTAAAGTTTCACCCGAAATGATGTCTGCGGTCAAATCCCTTACAGGTTTTCAAACTTCATTTCTCCGCAAAATCTAAAATACAAGCGCAAACAATATAAAAAAATTGTATCTGGTCAGAAAGTATGGTGATAAAACCGAATCTGAGCTAAGAAAGTCGTTCAATGAAATTTGGAGTAGTTTCCAAAACGAGGCCGTCAGTAAATTTGGTGTATTGTACCTAAAAAGGCGTTTCCCTAACGCCACGGGAGACTGGAGGACGTGGTAAAAGAAAATTTTTTATGGGAGACCAGTTTTGCAAACCACTCTTGGGCCCTAGCTGGTTCTCGACGGCCCTGCTAAAAGCCAATAGAATCCAAAAAGGGTGAACACAAACTCCTTCTGTCTACACAATAGTGGTTTTCATTTTTATGTTCCTCAGACTTGAAACTGCCAGATAAACTGACGAAGGGCTCTGTCAATTATCGGAAACATGTCGTCATTAAATTTGCTACAAATAAACGGGGCCCTATTATAGGTCTTCGGCTTCACGGCCTAAACCCTATTTCTACGTGCGGAGGATTGCGGCTTCTGCACAAGATGCGTTTTGGCGCAAAATTGGCAACGGCCTACGGATTTTAAGAATGTGGGATAATCGGCGAGGGGCTTGTCCTGTTCCGTCTTGCAGAAATCTTCCTTTTTTATTTATTATTAAAATTGTGTTGTTACCTAATTCATATTTTATGTAGTGAAATTTTAAAATGAAGAAGCTGAAACTGGACCGCAACAGGCATATAGGTATTTCTAGCAATGTTTCTCATTTCTCTTGAGCGAGTAGTTGGCTTTTTGGGTCACTAATCTTTTTGCCATCGCAACTGCTTTTTGCACTTTTTAGTGCGGATTGAGACTTTTGGCTGTTTTTTGCACGGTTTAACGGCTTTTGTACCCCTATAATAGCCCCCATTAACTTTCGATCTACAAAGTGCCTAGTTTTCTAAAACATTTTGAACAAGACGCGTCCCCAAGACGAGGTAGTATTCTCAAAGCGCGGGAAAAGTCACATGGACAGTATCTTGGGAGCTGATCAGACTGCTCAAACTCGGTACAGACTAAATCTTTGAAGCGAAATACTTCTTGCCAACAAGAAGATATTACAATTATGGCGGTGAGTATATGAGCAAAATTTTAAATTAAAGCTTTAAGTACTGTCAGAAAAATGATTCGCGTTGTAATTCGTTTGTTCCGGTTCCTAAGATACGGGTGACTGAGCCCGGCCTGTCTATCATGGAGTTGTTGTTTTTCCACTCCTGTGATATCATGAACGTCCAAATGAAGTAGTGCCCTAAAGCCTTAACTTTCAGGTTTTATACAGGAAGTAAAGTAAGTATAATTAACTGTTTTAGCTTAGAGTAAAAGTATTAAAGATGGCCTTAAATTGTTTTTACACGTGTAAAACAAAGTTTTTCTAATCAACAAGGTTTCCTCAAAAGGGGACCTTTTGTAACTTTGATAATTTAAAAAGTATAACATGATTTTAGATTAATGCAATTGGAGAACTATACTGAAGTTTACCACTTATTAGACATTTGAATAATAGGATCCTTGATGATGTTAATTAGATTTAAATCTAATAAATTTTCAAAAAATTGTTTTATGTACGCATTAAACATCAATTCAATTTATGGCTACATTTTTGAAGTTACTCCAGACTTCAATCTAACACATTTTTGAGCTTCTTTTAGAAATTATTATTATAAATGATTAGAATATTAACCATCATAGTTTTAGTCTTGATAAAACTGTTATATAGTTTGTGGTTGTATTGTATATTGAAAACTTATAACAAATTCGACCCCAAAAGTTATTGCTGGTTAAAATTTACACTCTCACTTGCTGTTCATGGTTGAAACCTAAATAAAAATTGTTTAACTTATTGCTGTCATAAAATCAACAACACAAGCACTAACCTCATAAAAACTTAATGTAAAGTAAAATTCAGATTTTTAATCTGATTCTGAAGTAAGAAATTTTATACAAACAATTTTTTAAGACTTTACCAAAAGGTCCTTAGATGGCTGTTGACATAAGGAGACTAAACGAGAGCACAAATAAGAGCACTTAGTTCACACTACTCTGTTTTCAAATGAAAACGGATTCCAACTGAACCGTTTTTGCCTTGCGCTCACACTACTCTGCTATGAAAACGAAGTCATTTGAAAACCCAAATGAAAACAGATACTTTCGAATACGGTGGGTATTGAATACGCTCTGTTTTCGGTGTGAACACCAAAACGGAGACATTTGAATACGCTAACATCGGCAACAAATTACGTGCTTTGTAGCACACCAAATCTCCAAAATTTCAAAATTGAGAATTCACAATGGTAGCTGTTACAACAAAGTTTTTCACGATTTACTTTTATTAAATTTCATTTATAATGACGCCAATTTGTTGAGGATTCGTGATCACCTCTTTCCAAAAATGAGGCCACCAACAGCGTTTTTATTGGATTAGTGTGGACTTCATCGTATTCACAGCGTATTTGGATAAAAACGGATTGCTGGAATGGACATTGTTTTCATAAACGAAAACAGAGTGAAACAAATACAGAGTAGTGTGTAACCTTAGAGGCCAGTTGTTGTTCTATGGAGGTACCCAAATTGCAAATTATTTCCTGCAGGCTTTTTTGGCAAAAACCTACTTTGAGGTGTTGGCTTATTAGAGGGGGCAGGTCTCATACAAAGGTAGTGACTTACCTAGAAGCAGCCAAAAATATTGCCTGGACAAGTTTTCTTGTTTTATTTTAGGCTTGTTAGTATGTTAATTAATTCAGTATCTCAGCCAATGGTGGCTTATTTTAAGGCTGGGAGCATATTTCACAAAAAGAATGGATATGCTTCTTTAGATGCCATATATAAAGGAAAGTCAAATTTTGTCAAACATCTAATGCTATCTGAATCTAACCAAGCATTAAGGGAAGCTAAAAACTCTTTCTTCTTCTCAATGACATCTTGATGTTTTGAAGTACATCTAAATTACTCAATAATCTTTTGACAGGAAAGCTCATCAAGTGCTGGGATTCCAAGTAGTCCTCCGAGAGGCAGTGATCGTAATGCCCCAGAAAGCCCAAGAACCGAAGGTCTAGTGACATCCAGTCCTACAAGAGCAGATCTTGCACCTTTTGAAGATGAGACTGACATCATTTTAGGCAATGATGTGCAAGTAGAAGATGAGGGTGAAGATGGTGAAGAGTTGTTTGGAGATGCTATGGAAAGGTTAAAGGACTACTATATTGTCATTTGTTAAGTTCAATGGGTAGCCATGCCTATCATGCTCCCATTGGCATCTCCACTGTAGCTTTTTTCTCTATTCATCAGGCTTTGAAAGTGAATTACAAACTGAAGCTATATTTGCTTACTCTTTGTATTTAAAATTTGCAGAGATTACCGTGCAATTCCAGAGCTTGATGTTTATGAGGTAGATCGAGATGTTGAGGAAGAAGATTTGGAAGAGTTAAGTCCTGGTGCAAGGGCAGAAGCTGAAAGGGCTATGAGAAAACGTGACAGAGATGAAGGAATGGTGTCTGGAAGAATGAGAAGAGGCCTTCTTTATGGTAGGACCACTGAATGAATTTTATATTGAAGAAATTTTATTCACTCAAATTCAACAATTTATGGTAGGAAATAATCTCTTTGCTTACATAATGGTGATCATAGGAATTTTTTCTAGCTTTCATTCCAGATTTCTTTATATCCAATTTTAAGGGTTTTTGTGTTAAGATTTCTGTGCATAAATATCATAACTGCTTAGCTAAATTAGTCAAAGTTATTTGCTCAAATCTTGATTTTGATATTAAAAAAGGTTCCTGCTTCACATAGTTTGACAACAATCTGTAATAAATGAATATGAACCATAGATGATGATGAAGATGATGACTTGGAACCTTCAGCAGCAAGGAAAAAAAGATTGGCAGAAAGAGCAGCAGAAAGAGATTATGGTGATGACGACGAGGTTGGTTTCATCAAATCAATGTTTATGTTAATGATGGAAATTTAAAAGAACTATCTTTAGCAAGGGTGCTTGAAATGGTAAACACCAAGGACACATGCCCAAGGTTTTGGTAAAATGCCTCTATTATTACCCTCTTTAGAGCCTTTTGAACCCTTAAAACCTTTTTTCTGAAACATATAGCTCCTTATTACCTGTTTCAATTTTGAAATTCTTCTGATGTCCCAAAGACATGCCATACACATGTTAGCCATTCTGCGTTGTCTTTAAAGGTTTCCTGTTTTGGCCAAATATTTGACCAGAACTCTCTACTTTCTTCCGAGTCTGGCACTGCATTTCCGGTTTTCGCTTTACCATTCAGCTCCTGATACACCTTTTTCTGATCTTGTTGAAAAAGTTCTGAACTGGTCTATTCTCTGTTGAGTAATTCCAAACTGGTCTATTCTCTGCTCATATCTTTTAAGTTTAAATGCTTTTGCTTTTAATCTTTGTTTTAGCTCTTCTAAGACATAACACAATCTCTTGGTCCTAACCATATATTTCCTTTCAACCCCTACGCAATTTCTATTCGACACTTTCTCTCCTCTTTGCTTTCTTTCAAGTATATTTATATGGTTACGGATTTCATCAATACATGCATTCAATCTTCGTTTCCACCAAGGATCTTTATTCTTTGTTTTACTACTTGAGGGTTTCTTCTTCAACCCTACTTTCCTAGTGCAGTAGATTGAAATAGAATTTAACAAATTGTTGGTTTCAGTGATTGTTTCGGTTAAAATATCACTCAAAATCTCATTCACCTTATTACATAAATTTACTAGCTTCCGCCTCTCTACTTTTTTGAATCTAGGGATGAACTCTTTTTCCTCGCTCCTCATGATATCTATAATATTTTGTATAATTTCACGATCTTCTTCCGATCTTATATCATTGTTTGCTACTGTAATCTCGCTAGTCATAATCTCAGCTTTACAATTCTCTCTATTCTCATCGTTTTCTACCTTAGCGTTTTCTTTCACTTGCTGCCCAATTTCCATGACTCCTTCACCTTCATTCGTGCTTTCTTCAGCATCTTCATTGAGTACATATCTCTAAACTATTTCAATCTCGACCTCAGAAAGCCATCCATTTTTCATTACCATTCTTGCTTGGTCACACAAATTCTGTTCACTTATCTCAAACAACCCTTTTCTTTCCATGCTCTATGCATCCTTTGCCTATATCCCCTGATAGGTTTACAGTTTACATCTTAAGGATTACTTAGGAAGTAACACTACATAACAACTAAATTCAACTCCTTCGTCCACGTTCTTTTTGCAGTCACTTGCTGACGACTGGGTATCCGCTGCTGTGCATTAATAAATACACATAAATACATATATATTTGCAGTGTTTCTTGTTTGCTACATTTTCATTGATTTTTGGCCGCAAGAACTCCTTGGAGTCCTTCGAGCAGACTGCTATCGTAACCTTTTCTTTATTCACATATTTATTGGAGCATTTTTGGTAATTAATCAGGATTTGTTGTAGATGATCGAGAGTATTGAAAACCTGGAGGATATGAAAGGTCATTCTGTAAGAGAGTGGGTGTCCTTGGCTGCACCAAGACTAGAGATAAAAAACAGATTTAAACAGTTTCTTAAGACTTTTGTTGATGAACAAGGGAAAAGTGTTTACAGGGAGAAAATACAGCAAATGTGTCAAGGTAAGAGTAAGACTTATTCACGAATGCGCGAAATGCCATTGTATCTTGTGGAAGGATAGCTCAATGACTGACTACGATCAGTGGGCACATGGTTCAAGTCCTTGGCATGATTAAACTATCATCTAAGAGTGAGGAGAGTTGTCAGCTCTATGTTATTCCAGGCATAGAGGAAAGACCAGGACACTGCACAATAAGCACAGCTTCTCAGTGTTCTAAAAACAACCTTTGGATGATAGGTTGCAAAAACAAAACATGAATCGAGGCTTAGAAACTTCTGAAACTATCTCATTTTGCCTTTACCATTAACAAATATGTATATTGTTACTTGTATATTGAATTTGTGTTCTTCTGATATTCTTGGCTGAAACTCTTCTTGTGTTTTCTGCAAATAACATATTTGCTTATGATTACACAATTGAGTTATGCTCTTCCCTCATTTGATTTTAGCAAACAAACAGAGCTTGGTTATTGACTACAATATTCTTGCAAATGAACATCAAGTCCTTGCTTTCTTCCTGCCTGAGGCACCTGCGGAAATGCTCAAAATTTTTGATGAGGTGAGAAAATTCTCCCTTTCGGAAAGATAGACAAATAGTTGGTGACGAGAGGACCTGGAAAAAATCCAGTTCACCTAATTTCAAAACATAATTCTGAAATCTTGGTGGTGTATTCATATTCCATCTGAATACTTTATCCCTTTAAAAAACATCAGCTAAGCATAATATTCTGCTTTGAATTTAATGGGCAAGCTCTGCAATAGTTTGAGAGTGTATTCTCATCTCTTGTCAATAATTATGAACACAGGCCTTATGATCAAATGGTAATCTTAAAGTCAAAATTTTTCTGAAAAAAGGTCTAAAGGTACCTTGAAAGAAACAATCTCCAATTTAGCCAATACAGTGAGGGTAGATTGAGATCTGTAAAGTCTTCCCTTTTGTTCACATGATTTTATTTGTTGCCTTATTCTCAGACATTGTATCTCATAAAAGTTTATCCACCCTTTAATTTATTTTTATGTTTATAACAATGCCATAAATTGTGACAAACATATTCTTGAAAATTGATCTGTTTCACTTTAGTTATGATTGGGAAACTTTAGAAAAAAATGAATTCTTTAGTTTTTTTGAAAACAAATCCTCTTGACCTATTTATTAATTCTATTTTTACTACAATTTTCATTTCTTCACATCATTTTTGTAGGCTGCTAAGGAAGTTGTATTATCAATGTTTTCAATGTATGATCGAATAGCAAAAGAAATCCATGTACGCATCTCAGAATTACCACTGATGGAAGAGCTCAGATCCCTCAGGTATGCCTTTGCCATGTACTTATGATAAGTCCTAAAGCTTTGCCTTTTTGATCCAGAAGTTTTCTTGCAAAGAATTTCTAAAATTCATCTATTATTTTGTCTGCACCCAGCCCCCCCCCCTCTGTTTCTGTTACGTACACTTAGTTTCCTATATCCATTTAGTAGACAAACAGTGAATTTATGTGGGTACATTAATCTTTCTCTCTCCCAAAATCATTTATGTGAGGCCTAGAGGGGGACTACGTTTCTGTGGTAGGTCCTTATAGAATTGCCAAGCGCTTGAGGAGGCGTTTGTTCAAGGGAAGGAACATTTATTTACAGCCTGTATATAATGAGTTTTTCAATGTTTTCTCAAATTTAGGCAGCTTCATCTGAACCAGCTCATCAGAACAAATGGTGTCGTTGTAAGCAGTACCGGAATTCTTCCACAGCTCAGTATGGTCAAGTATGATTGCTCAAAATGCAACTTCATTCTCGGGCCTTTCTTCCAAGGACAAAATATAGAAGTGAAGCCAGGTTCATGCCCTGAATGCCAGTCACGTGGCCCATTTGAAATCAACATGGAGGAGGTAAGTAAATCAGTGCAGGAAAAACGAATTTTTGTGTTTTTTGTTTACAACCATTGTCGATTTGCTTTGCATAATGTTTTACTGAGTTCTTGTGATCACATTACAGATCAGTGAAAAAGGTCAGTGATTCGGCTACAACAGCGATAGAAAATGACCTGTCCTAAACCACATCTAGCCTCTTGCTTGTTCTTGACTGATCCAAAATTTTGAATCAAGTAATACACCCAAAGCATTCAGTCTTTTTTGTTGTTGAGGCCACAACTTTTTCAACTGCTATTAAATTGATATTTAGCCAAATTGAGTTAGGCATGTCATGTGTGGCATTTTGAAACAAAATGATCCATTGCCTACCCAGTGTTTGCGAGTTTGTATTTTTGTGTAAATAAATCTTGTATATAAATTTTGCTAATTGTTTGGTGACCTTGTTATTTGCAGACGGTATACCAGAATTATCAAAAGATAAAAATCCAGGAAAGCCCAAGCAAAGTTGCTGCAGGTCGACTTCCCAGAGCTAAAGATGTCATCATGTTGTCAGATCTGGTTGATTCGTGTAAACCAGGAGACGAAATCGTAAGTTTTCAAAAAACATAGAGCCTAATTAGGGTCTTGTGTATGTGGAATGCCTGATCATCTTCGAAGAGCGTGATGTCCTTATTTTCCGTTTATTGTCAATGTCCTTTCCAGCAGTTGGAGATGATAAACGACGGGTGATGCTGCTATAAGTTGTCTGTATATCTGGGGCTCTTCAAGGATCATATTTACGTCCCCTGATATTTTTTTTCGAAATTTTTATAATTCAACAACTGTTGCGTTTTATTTGAGATTTAAAAGCTACTTTCTGCAACCCAACTTCTTTTACCCCTCCATATGTTTTTTCAACCTGCGTCGACCGTGACTTGAGATTAGTTGAGAGTACCACTGAAAAACGGTAGAAAGCCCCTAGAAACAAATATGCCCCTTGGAACATAGAAAAAGCTTTTAAATGTATGAAAGGGGCCTCTTAAAGCGTTAAAGAAGTCAGGCAATCACAGACAAAACACGGAGCTCGTCCTGAAAAAACGCCGAAAAGATTCCTAATAACAGGTTTTTGTGATAAAATAACAAACTGCTCTCTCTATATTTTTAACGATGTTGTTAATGCCGTTGTTGTGTTGTCAAGGCTTTGACGTAAGAACTTTATATTGCGTTTATAGGAAGTGACAGGTATATACAGAAACAATTACGACGGCTCTTTAAACACATCAAATGGTTTTCCAGTTTTTGCCACTGTGATCGAATCGAATTATATTACAAAACAAGATGACAAAATGGCTGTCTCAAATTTAACTGACGAAGATGTACGGGATATAATGAAGCTTTCAAAAGACGAAAATGTCAGTGAAAGGGTATGTTCACTTATTTAGTCACAATTATAAAATTTAAAGCTTAGCTGTTTAAATGCAGCTATGCCCCCATATAACGGATCAACTGAAACTATGTGCTCATTTGATGGAGGCACTTATTTAAAGGGGGCAGTAATTAGTTTCGAAAGTTTCCTCTGATTTCATACAGGGAAAAACGCTAGGCGTTTGGAAAATCAGCTCCATCTAAACTTTTCTAAAAGTAACTCTTTAATAGAGATCATTAATCCTCTAATAATGGACAATATAAATGAATTTTTATTATTGAATAGATTTTTGAATGTGTTTGGAGACGAAAAGTGGGGGGGGGGGCATTCGAAAGTGGTTCTTATTCGAGCGAATGCTTGCAAAAATAAGCCAAAGAAATATTTGCAGCATTTACTTTCAAGATTTTGTAAAATTTTAGGTCAGCTTGGTTGTTTTTTTCTTTGTTTTTCAAGCAAAAACCATTAAGTGAAATTTACAGTAACGATACCTTTTTCTGAATACATGTTTCATGCCATTTTTTAAGTTTGTTTATGTAGAAATAATGGAATTTTTGTAGGACCAGCAGATATTGAAAGCATAATCATAATCATGATCCAATGATTTTGTCAATAGCACAGTTCAATCTTCGATAATGGATTTTCCATTTTTAGATTGTTGCAAGCATGGCACCGTCTATATATGGTCACGATGACATTAAAAGAGCACTTGCTTTGTGCTTATTTGGAGGCGTTGCAAAGGATCCAGGTATAGGACATGCTGTTGAATATATTTTGCTCCTGCTTTAACTTCTTCACTTCTTCTTTGCCGTAGGCCTTTTCCTGGTAAATCAGGGTGGGTCACCTGAATGATTCTTCTTCATTGTTTACAGTCCCCTATGACGTCAGATCAAGCTCCTGCATGTCTTCTGCTTCTTTATCTCCTTTAAATTTTGAGCACTTCAAATAAAATGTGCAAAGATTAACATCCGTAAAGCTGTCATAAAATGAGATTCTTGACCTGGGACAGAATGCTACGAAGAAGTCCTAAAGTATTTGAAAACTGTTGGATTTTTGTTTTATTTTGATCATCTATTTAAGACAACTCACTCGGCCTTAACAAGTGATAACATTTTGTCTCATGCAGTTTTGACACATTTAATACATTACCTCATTTCCTAAAAACGCACTTTTCTAGGCGGAAAACACAAATTAAGAGGGGACATTAACGTACTTGCTTGTGGAGACCCTGGAACTGCGAAGTCCCAATTTCTCAAGTACATCGAAAAGACTGCGCAGCGACCGGTGTTTACAACGGGACAAGGCGCAAGTGCCGTAGGGTTAACAGCTTACGTTCAAAGACACCCTGTAACGAGAGAATGGACATTGGAAGCCGGTGCTTTGGTGCTTGCTGATCGGGGGGTTTGCTTAATCGATGAATTCGACAAGGTTGGTGAAGAATTTCAAGCACTTTTTCCCATTTATTCGGAAATTGTTTCCATCTACCTTTACAACACCTCTCCTTATTTTCGAAGCATAGAATATTTCTAGATACTTAAATAGTCTCCTAGGCCTGCGATTCAAAGAGAAACTGCATCAGTATTGATACAAAGCTTATACAATCTTGTTGTTCATAGTTCAATAATACTAGCTTTGTAGAAGGTTTTGGAAACTGTCTTTTTCATATCAGTCTCAGTAGCCGTGGTATGCTCTTGTTCATTTCTTTATTGTATATTGCAATTTATCATGTAACCTTAGAGCTTTGGTCTTAATTTATCCAGATGAATGACGCAGACAGGACCAGTATCCACGAAGCCATGGAACAGCAAAGCATCTCTATTTCCAAAGCTGGTATCGTTACATCTCTTCAGGTTTGACATCAGTTATTTATTGGTGAAATAACTTTGCTTAATCTTCATACTTTATACAAAAAATAGATCGAAACATTGAAATTATCAAAGTCCATATATTGCCAAAATCTCTAGCAGTTTCGTGAACCTCATTACAAAATTCTTGATCATTTAAAATTAGGCCATTCAGTTTCATGTCTGTCACAAATGACTCTAATATGTCAAAGAATAGAAGTTTACAGATGCAATTTAATCACTTGTATAGCACAGGTTTCCAAAGCGTGCTATTTAAAAAAGCGGCACCCCAAATCTTCTTCAAATGTGTTTGTGCGACATTGAATCAACCCTTTATACAATGCTTGTATCATTGTTGCAGGCACGTTGTAGCATCATTGCAGCTGCTAACCCAATTGGTGGCAGATATGATCCATCTCTCACATTTGCAGAAAATGTAAGTACTTCATGTCTTCAGTATTTTAGACTTTGCCCTCTTTGTTACAATGACGGAGAAAAATTCTGTTTGGTATTTGTGATAAAGTTCTTGAGGCTTTTCATTGTCTGTCTGATGATTGTAGTTTCTTTCGTTAATTGCAAAAATTAAAAGGACATAATAGATAATGTTTGTCATTTTTTTCAGTGTTTCTCCAGACCTATATATTATGTAGTTGGTAGTTAAACAAGACGCTTGTTCCGTTTTTAGGTCGACCTTTCAGAACCCATTCTTTCAAGATTCGACATCCTCTGTGTCGTTAGGGACACAATAGATTCTGTTCAGGTATTGCTTTTGTGAATTGCTTGACTTTTGATTTTAAAACATTTTTTTGTCTCGTTAGCCTCATGATTATAAGGCTAGACTTATATCATATAAAATCTATTCATTTTTTTACTTTGTAATTTACTCTTAATGACTTCGTTAATTTGGGGTTTCCTTTTGAAGCCATTTTGCACTCGATAATAATCGATATCTATATATGCTAATGTCTAAGAATACTTTCAATTTTACATGGTACCTTAAATTTCTTTCAAGAAATGACAGGTATATTGTCGCAAGGGGCTTTGTGCTACATGGTTGCCCGAAAAATAGCACGCATTTGTCCTTAATTGATAGAATCCCAGTACCATTGTTTGGGAAACAAAGCTGTGTTCATTTCCATTTGCCATCCATATGTATTCCAATATATCAAAACTACAAATTTACAAGATGCAAAATGGTCTGTCCATAAATCCAAGAATTTCATATATTTTCAGATAATTAAGACCCTGTGCCCATTGTTGCATTCAGACTGCATAATAAGAAAAAAGGAAAAAAGTTCACAGTGGGGTCGTTCAAATTGAACCGCCCTTGTCCTGATTTCATCCTTATGTTGAAGACCGCAAGCTCTTAATAAAATTTAAAATTTAATTTTGAAGTTGAAATCTTTTTGGGCTATTCAAAACACACCTCGTGACGAAGAAATTTGATTTAATTCAGTCTTTAAGTGCCCATTACTATTCAAGCCTTTTTAAAGTTTTCTGTTTTTGTTTTAATTCCCATTGACTGCTAAGATCTGCTAAGTTTTGGAAGGGCTATAGGAAAAGAGTCCCAACAGCATAACCCTCCACTCACTATACACTTAAAAACATAGGCGTCTAAAGCGGCATACACGTGTCTCCTTCTTTTTTCAGAAACAGCGGTAAAGTACCTATTTACGCCTAATTTTTGTTTAAATATGCATAACCCCAGCATTTCAGAAACAGAGATGGAGTACCTATTTGCAGGGTACAGAAGAGTCCCCTTCTAGGTACTCACGCTAACCCCAAGCCTCCCCCCACTTATGAAATGCTTTATGCGTCTGTGATTAAGCGTATATATCTGCAGCGTGAATGCCAAACAGCAAAATAGAAAGTTATGTTTGCATGGGACAAACTACGTTCAAAGAAAAGTCAGAACGTAACCATTGAATAGACTTAAAAGTAATTCAGAAAATGCAGCGAAAAAGTAACGAGACTAAAGAATTAAAAAAAGAGAGCTTGAAAGCTTGTCAGTGACGGAAAGAATCTGTTCATTGGGAATTTCATATAATCATAAGCATATATTAATGAAAGCTGATGAAAAATTGACAATAAGCTTTGCTGTCCTTTGACGTTAGTCCATTATACCGTTCATATATTGATTCTGTCATATACATGTTATAATCTTATTTTTGTTCCAGTTTTTAAATCCGTGAATAGAATGATGAAGATTCTTCTTCAAACATACTGTTCTGCTCTGAACAAATGTCGATTTTTTACAGACTTAGTGTCAACCATCTTCCAGGTTATTCAAATAAAAACGGCTTTGATGAGGACCCTAAGGAGATTACTGGTTTCAATAGAACCTAAACAAATTTATGCAAGTCATCTCAACATACTCAAGTGTAGCCAACCATTGTTAAGTGTACATTGGATTCAAGTTTCAATTTCGCAACTCCCACACAAATTCTGTCTATGGTTTCAATTTCAGTCAGTGTCTAGACAACTAAATGACAACCAAACACAGCCATATTTAGTAGTAACATAAACATTTCCAATGCATCTATTCGTTCTTGTGTGCTTGTTTTCATACCTTTAATCATCCCACTAATGTAATTTCAAGGAAAACTTTAGGCACTGCATTAATTAGAGACCCCTTTTAATTAGAGACAATTCATTGTGAAGATTCTTGTGAACCTGCTGTTTTAGCCGAAATTTTAAATCATGGGCCTTCAGCCTGCGTTCTGTGCATTTTTAGCTTTCACTTTTTGGCAATAAACTGTGAAAAATCTGCAGACTCTAAAATCACAATTGGCTTTAATGGGTCACAAATGAAGAAAGTCACAAACTTAAGAATTTTCAAAAAATATTTTCAGGTCACATGAAAAGCAAATTTCGAATCTATAGCAATGCATTACTTGTTTCCCCCAATAATTAAAAGAGATTCTTGTTTTTTGGGTATTTGTATTACCGTACACTTTTGAGTAAACTTTAGTTTTTTTGTTTGTCTCTATGTAAAATGACCGTGCTGTTTTGATTTGTATTCAGGATGAAATGCTGGCGAGATTCGTTGTAAACAGCCATGTGAAGCACCATCCGAACCGTGATGAAGAAGCTACAGATGAAGATGAAATAATAGTGAGTACAAAATGGGCTATACCTTTTTTGTGACAGTGACTTATAACAAGTGTAGGACTTTACCAGAGAAAAGTTCCATGTATCAGGGCACGCCCCAAAATATTGTATCTTTAGAAGCTCCCCAGTAGAACAATGTGGAATTCTGGCCTTCAATAGTTCTGAGAAATGGTGCCCATTTTTCACTTCCAACGATGTCCTTACCTCCTTAGAAGGTTGGCATTGCACGCCCCTTTGCCCAATGGATGATGGTACAATTAAACACATTTGCTAATTTTTCTTCCCAATCTTTTCTTAAAACCTTATTAACCGCGGGATCCTTATGCTTTAAAGTAGCTTTATCCGATAAGATTATTTTCATCTTGTTTATAATATCCTGTAAGCCGAAAATTGTTGCCTTCACTGCAGTTCTATTGAGCTTCAAAGGTTCAAATGCTGGGAAATATTTGACATTATTAGAGGCAATACGACCTTCCAATGGAATAAAACAGTTTGTTGACCAAGATCGAAACAAAGCGAATAGCCAACCGAACTGAAATTCGTTTATCCTAGTGTTATTTCTAGGTACCTTGTTCATCTGACGCAAAATCTTAGTATCGCTTTTTCAATGTTTGGGTTTTGTTCAAGGCTGTGTTCTTTGTCTGATATTCGTGCAATGCTTTTAAGCAAATAAAGGATCGAACCTCCTTTACCCGCAGGCATATGGTCCTATAGGAGACAATCCGTGATAGAATTCAAAAAAATTGACACACCCTTTCCAAACAGTGGACGCTGTGTAGACACAACGAGTCAAGGCCATCCGGCTTCCAAACAAAATCGTTTGAGTACCAGCATCAGCATTTTAGAAGACTTTTAGTATTGGGCTTTGCTTCAGGTTTTAATCGATAGAATGTATTTGGGGGACAATAAACAGTTGCATATGAAAATCATAGGAAAGAGGAACTGCCTTGGACTTTAGTGATTGTTAAAACCTGCAGCGTCATCCATCATTGTCCCATAACCTTACGTCTTGCCACAACCTTGCTTGCATTAGCATTTCAAAGATATATTGCTGCAATTTTCCCAAGGCTGTGGAGTTAAATATTTCGACATTTATCTATCTTTGGCCTGCTGTCCTTCATTGCATCTCAATGCTCGTCAAAGAATTTATATCGAGCTTATAACGCAAAGCGACATCCGTTTTGTCAATGATCCTGCAGCTTAATATGTCGCATCACAGAAACAGAGTTATTAACAGGAAATTGCATATATATAATCCTCTCTTTTCTTTGAAACAAACAGAAGCTTCCTATGTGATTGGAAATATTTTTATTAATAATACTTCCGTCGTTTTTATCAGAATTCAACTCCATAAACGCTAATAATTTAAGTAATTAAAAATAGTTTACATGTTTCTGGCTTCTTCAAACAAACAAAACTCTGTGTAGAAAGAGCGTTGAAACCTCTTTTGTCACCAATGATATTCTAGACTTTAAATGCAATCGATAAAATACAGAAGATTTTCACTTTCTGAAAACGTTTCAACGAATGCCTTTGTCAGTAATCAAAGCGAAATACTGCAGAGAAATGCATGTTTGCCACTAGGAACAACAGAGAAATACACGATAGACTTTGTTTTTTGTAACTGATTTTTCGTTCTTGACAGCTGATAGCAAAATATCTGTGACTACTCACGCCTTGGCAAACTGCTGGAGTATATGTAAAGGGAGTGGCCTAATAACAAGTTGCAATAAACAGCAGTCTGATGCTGTTAATCCTCGTAAAATCCAGATATCTTCTAGACAACGTCAGCTCTCTAAAACGACGATTGAATATTGTCCCGTAGATAGTTTTTATATAAAGATTCAATTATTTGCCAGTATGGCATAAACATCTTCAGGACAATCTTTTCAGTAAGTAATAAGCATTTGGTATGCTTGTATACCTCTGCACAGGTATTGTTGCTTGCACTGAATTATCTGCCTCTAATTTTATTTGTTTGAGGCATGACCACAGCCCAAGATCAGGCTACATACGAATAATAAATAAAAGTCATGAAGACCTAGAGACCTCGAACAGAAATTTCTTCACACAGTTTGACACTTTTAGCAGGCATCTCAAAATATCAATAAGTTACATTAATACAAGCTTATGTTTCCAGTCTGTTTGATATTCTTCAGAAATCAATGTTCATTTTATAGATGAACGACAGTATGCCAGTTACATTTAGTAGACAGTGTGCTAGCGATCTTGACTTCCATGAATAAAGCAGAAACATCAGCTACAGAAGATTTCTTCATTTTTCATAGTTGATAGTTTAGCAACGACTCTACAACAGTCTTTCCATTTTGCTTCTTTTTAGACCTCTACCTTGCCTTCTTCAGTCGAGCTTATTCCCCAAGATCTCCTCAAAAAGTACATTATCTATGCAAGAGACAAGATTCACCCAAAACTTCATCACATGGACCAAGAAAAGGTTGCTAGCATGTTTGCTGATCTTCGCAGAGAATCCATGGTAGGTTGTTAATATTCAACACTTGAGGCTAAATGGATTTTTCAGCTATTCATTTTGCCTTGCAAAGATATGCACGGAGACATTGCATTCTTGACCGCCTCGGATAGTTGCTAAGGATCTGAGATGTCGCTGCCATAGATTTTTTTCAAAAATGCTTGTTCACCAATCAGAATGTTTAATGCTGGAAGAAGGTAGTCAAAGAATAATTCAAACAAAAGTTTGAAAATGTTCAAGATGTAGATATGAAAAAGTCGAAAAGTAAATAGAAAATGATATATCAACAGTCAGAGATGCCAGGTAATGCTCATAAAATAATTAAGTAATAATCAGTAAATAATTCCCAAATAATAAACAGAATTTCTAAGTGATAAAACACTTGATCCCTGCTAAAAGCATTCATAAAAGGTTTTGGTGTAGGAGCAGGGAAGGTAGAGGCCACGTTTTTATCTTATAACGCTTTGTTACACGTATTTGGCAGTGGCCCGTTTTCTTAAATGCAACCATATTTGCCGAACTCTATTTTAAATTCAATTTTCTTCAGATTACAGGCAGTATACCAATTACAGTCAGGCACATTGAGTCAATGATCAGGATGGCAGAAGCTCATGCCAAGATGCATTTAAGAGAGTATGTCAGAGAGGATGACGTCAACATGGCAATACGAGTTATGCTTGAGAGCTTCATTGATACCCAGAAGTATTCGGTCATGAGGAACATGAGAAAGGTATGCTACAACCAGACACTGTCTAGCTCAAGTAGGAGTACCTTATTCTAGCCCAAGTAACAAAGTCCCCTTAGGCCTAGGTAGCAAATCCCCCCTCTATCAAGCCCAGGTAACAAAGCCGTTCCCTTGCCCAGGTAGCAGGCCCCCCTATAGCCAAGGTAACAATGCGCCCCTCTAACCCAGGTAGCAAACCCCCCCCCTCTTTCATAGGTTGAAAAGACTCCTTCTAGCCCAGGTAACAAAGCCGTTCTCTTGCCCAGGTAGCAGGCCCCCCTATAGCTAAGTTATCAATGCACCCCTCTAGCCCAGGTAACAAAGACCCCATCTTGCCCAGCGTGGAAAGCCCTCCTTTAATATGCTCTCCCCTCCCAAAGAAGGAGTATATTCAAGTTTCCCTTCCATAAAGTTCAAAACAACAATTTACCAATTCCGTTTTCTTTTATCCCCTTTTTCTTCATGTATAGAAATATAATTTCGAAATAATGTTCTCTCTTTTTCAGATAAAATGACCTCAATATAGATTTCATATCTTGGAATTCTTTTGTACTTATTGATGATGGCTTCACAATCTCTGTCTTGTTTATTTTCAGTCCTTCTCACAGTATCTGGCATTCAGAAGGGACAACAATGAGTTACTACTCTTCATCTTGAAACAGCTGGTCCGTGATCAGATCATGTTTTACAGAAGCAGATACAGAAGCGAACCGGAAATTATTGAGATTCAGGAAGAAGAATTTTCTGATCGGGTAAGGCCTGCCTATCATTTTTAAGATTTTTGTTTCCTAAAAGTGCAGAGCTTCATGCTGCTTATTGGAATCTCAAAACCTCTTTTATCCCTATATCGATCATGTCATAAGCCCACTTTTCCTTCCACTTCTTGTGTATACGAATTATTATTTTATTCACTTGTCTTAGGCCCTTGCTAAGTAATGTTTTGATCCCCAAACTCTAAATGTGGCTGACACGCTCATTGATCTGAGTGGTAACACGCTCATTGATTGGCCAACTGTTGATTGGCAGATCGCTCAAGACAATTTTGTATTTGTTGATGGTCTTTAACATCATGCTCACTTCCAGCCAAGCAGTACTGTTTAACATGGAGAGAGGGATGGTCTAATCCGACCTTGGAAAAGTCCTCCGACTCTACTGTTTATCGTCTGATGATTTAAGGCATGCCTCCATGATGAAAATATTTTAAAATACAAGCTTGTTTGTTTACTGTTTTTAAGCAGTTGGTTTCTGTTTCTAGGCCCGACAAATCAACATACATAGCCTGTCAACATTTTACGAAAGCGAGTTGTTTCAAAATAACAGATTTGTTTATGACAAGAAAAGGAAAGCAATCGTACAAACCATGTAAAGACAAAGTTGCTCGTGGAGTTTTTACAAGATCAAAAGGAGACCAATGATTTGCCATATAAGGATATGAAGATACTGTGTCATGTGCCTCTGGGATGTATATTATAAACCTTAGATGCAAGATATCTGACTAAGTATGTTGGCACCCGAGGCCTGACAACTATTGTAAATAACTGGATGACTTTTGTTGTTTTGTCATCAGGATGTATGGACGGAATGGAGAATAAAGCATTTTGTATTATTTGTAGATCGAAAAGAGAGGCGATTCTTTTTAGATTCTTTCGTCTTACCACTGTCCGGAATAAATTTGTCATTTCTTCAAAAATGCAAAAGTTATGCTTATTCTTAATACAGTCAATCTATAACGTAAAGCTCATGCTATTAAGAATACATATTTGCGGATGCGCCAGTGAATTTCACCAACTTTATGACAATGCTCTTTTCTCTTTCAAATACCCTCTTGGTCCTATACAACCTAAGCGCCTTTTTCTTTATCAATCCCTGACAACTCTATGCTAGTAATGTTATTTCTTAGGATCAACAGTCTCTTAGAAGGCAGGTTGGGATCGCCGTGTGAAAATTATTTCTATATGAAGCATGCATCAACCCGCTGAATTTCTTTATTGGTGATGGTGACACCCTTGATATAGTGATTGATTTGTATTTTTTAAAAGTGGCTAAAAGGATTCCCAATGTGATTTAGAGAACAAGTTTATCAAATAAATATACCGTGTTATTCCAAGTCATCTGTCTTCCTATAAAATGGTGTAAGATTTTAGGCATTCCACAAGAATGGAAAAACCTAAAGCAGACACGCCCTAGGAAAATCCATACTTATACAGGAAATATCCGGTACAAAAGCATTCATACAAGTGTTTGTTTTATTGTAGCCAGTGCTACCCGCTAATCAGTCATCCTTTCTGCCAATTTTTTATCTAAGAGTCGTACTTTTGAACAATAGAAGACTTGCGTTGATAAAAATCACGTCTAAATTCATGATTTTACACCGATCATCATTACATATGATGCTTCAGTTTCTACGAAATCTTTTATTTTCAAAAATGTGTCAGTCTGCAACGTGGGTTGAAATATAGGGCTATAATGGCTAAAAGTAATTTTTGAATTGATATTTGAGGATATTTCATCGATTTGAGTGTGGAAATATGGTGTTTTTTGTAAGATGTTTTTGTGGAAATAAGACTTGGTCCGTTATGGTATCCAAGAAACATGTCGAGATCGGTGAAAGGGAGAAGAAAGCGAGGCAAACTAGAATTGCTTGCTTTCACGTACAAGCTTTGCTGTTTTTTCCAGAGAAAATTAGATAAATTTTCAGTATTACACATAAAAGGGTTTAGATTCTAATATCATTGTTTCCAACTCCACTAAGCGTAAAACAACATAATGTTGATCGAAAGTCACATAGCCGAATCTATCTAGCTGAAATGGCAACTGGTTTAATCAGATTTGGGCTTCTGATCTGAATTACACTCATTTTTTTTAAGAAACTGGTTATAAGAAACGAGTACTGGACAGTCAAGACAAAATTAAGAAACTTCAGTACTCGAAGCTAAAAAATTAAGAAACTATTAACTCGTGATAGAACTGAGAACAACGAAATTTCGTAAAATCCAAGAACAAGATTGCCCTGTTGGCCTAGAACTTAAGACACAAGGGATAAAAATATACTTCCCACATCTAAATACAGCATCGGATCGGAAGCGAATCTCTTGACGTGATAAAAAAGGTCACGAACATTCCATAACATCATTCATGACATCATAATTAAGAAACTCTTAAGAAACAATGAGTATTGAAATTTCCAGAACATTAAGAAACTGGAGTACTCAACATCGACCTTTGTTTCTTATAAAAAAAATGAGTGTAGTCACCAAATCAAGGTAACCAGCCCACTGCACCCGCACCATTTCAACCAAAACAACGAGGAACGGAAACCACGAGGGGCTGGGAGCAAGCCAGCTTTTATGTTTGACTGACTTGGGGAATATTTGGAATATTTTGTACTGAGAATTATAAAAGAAAAGGCCATGCTACCCTGGGTACCAGAGCCACAAAATTTTGAGCAAGGAAAAGAATATTGGACCGGAGATATATGACAGGGAAAATTCACTGCACTTGTTCCACGACTCAAAAATTCAATTTCTGCCACAGATTTCAAACCACTGTTCATGCTTTAAACGTCAAAGTAACTATGCCATTTAACTCCGTCAGGTGATATCTCGCTAATAAACTTAATGGGTTCTTAAGCCATGTTCTTGTTAAAGGGCTAATCTGTTATGAAGCAAAAATCAGATGTTGAAACAAGATCCTACCCTACTTTCTTTCAATACCAAGAGTATCAGTTTCATACTATGAAAAGGACTGCGTCTTCCATTCATCTATTCTGCCCACGTCAGTTATGATTTCGATCAGAGTTATGATTATTATAATTTTTCGGGCTCTGAAAATGTGTGTCGTAACATCCAACTGTATCTTATCAACATTTTTGTGAGCAAATGTACTCTGCTCTTCTTGTATTACTAATTATATCATTTTAACATTGTAATATTATTTTTTGATATCGTATGATGTTATGCTATGTTGTTCTATGTTATGTTACGTTATGTTATGTTATGTTATGTTATGTTATATTGTGTTATGTTCCAGTGCCGTCGGAACGAAATTCATATTGGGGGGGGGGGGCTGCCCATTGTTTTCCTTCTCATTCAGTACACTGTTTTAAAGGAAACATACTGCAGTTTGACAATTATTGGGGGGCTCCAGCCCCCCAGCCCCCCGGTTCGACGGGCCTGTGTTCTTTCATGTCATGTTATGTTGGGAAAGGCAAATTATATAATTGTAAGGCAATTGCATAAAGGATTAAATCGTGGGTAATCAAAATTTGGTAGAATGTTTCAGTGTTACAAAATAGTCTATCTTTATTTGAAGGCAGAATTTGACATTGATGGAATTTAACAAAGGTATCCTAAAAATAACCTGTCCCAGACATCTTGCCTCGTTCTGAGAACAAAATTTTTACCCTTGTTAAACAAAATGGCTGCTGAAACCATGTTGCATGCTTTACCCATAAGCTTGATGCTAGGATTGACAGCCATCGTCTTTTCACTCTTCAATTCTATCCAACCTGATCCTTACATGGACGAGATATTCCATGTCCCACAAGCTCAGAATTATTGCTCTGGAAATTTCAGCCATTGGAATAACAAAATCACCACTTTGCCTGGACTGTACATTGTCAGCTACATTTTGAGTCGTGTTCAAGATTACGCGCCTTTTGTTAGCAGATTTTTGGATGACGACCAGCGTTGCTCGACAGCTTTCCTTCGTTTTGGAAATGTTATATTTATGTTGTTGAATTTTTGGCTGCTGTATGAGATTTCTTTCATGATCAATGTCAGAGTATGTATTCATCTCACTTAATAAAATTTACAATCACACTTTAGCAAATAATTGTTTGAATGCCACGCCATCAGTATAGTTTTTGGTAGGAAAACCTACATTGTTATAGTAGGGAAATTTCTCACTGTTAAAAATGATATTGGTCAAGAGGCACCTGTCTGCAGACATTGGAGAAAGTCAGTGTAGTGATGTAAGCAAAAATTTGAAATTTCACCCTAAACTTACAATAGCATTAAGCAAATATCTGTTTGCACACCAAAGGGTAAGTAGAAATCACCTGAACATGCGTAAGATGACACATTCTCATGTAAGCTCCTGTCAATAACTGCAAAACTTTGCAGACTGGAATCGCCATGTAACATTTCTTTTTTATTATAAAATCGATTTAAGTGCCAACTTTTAAACCAGCAAGTTTTGTCCTAATGTTGGCAAACTTTTTTTCAATGGCATGAAAATGCTCTTGCTGCATCCTAAGGCATTAAAAAGTTTCTCTGTAACATTTCAGTGCTTTCAGTAGTCTGCATAGCAAATGCATTAAGGTTAAACAAGGGTAAAATTATGAAATTTACTGCAAAATGTAACCATTGTTTTCATCAACAGGAAATGGAAGTGGCCATTAAAGCAAAGTACGCCAAGAACGATGGCAAAAGGAAGAAGAAAGAAGCAGTAAAGGTTTCAAAACAAATGGCTGAAGAACAAGCTGAAGCTAAGATTACTATTAGAATCCATTCGTTTGCAAATGCTTTTGTGTTGGTCTTCTTCCCGATACTTTATTTCTTCACATTTCTTTATTACACTGACCAAGGATCAACTGCAACGGTTTTGTTAACATACTGGTTTAGTCTGCAAGAAAACCACATAAATGCATCGTTGACTGGTGCAGTTGCTGTTTGCTTCAGACAAACAAATATCATATGGGTTGCTTTCATTGGTGGTGCCTCCTTACTGAAGGAAATAGAAGAAGAATTACCAGATCTATCAGATGGGATGATGCATTTTGTAAAGACAGTTTTTCATACACTGAGTCAGAGAGTAAGTAGCATTCTTCAGAAAGCTATTCCATATGCATTTATTGGCATATTATTTTGCATTTTCATCATAAAGAACAATGGAATCGTGGTTGGTGATCGTTCAAGCCATCAGGCCTGTCTCAACATCCCACAAATATTTTATTTTACTGGATTCACAATGGCTTGCTCCTTCCCATTATTCGTTTCAACATCAGCTTTCAAGATTGTGTATTATAAGGTGAAGGAGTTGACAAAAAGCAAGATCAAATTATTCATCACTATTTTCTGCATTTTCATTGGAGTAATTGTCATTTCCAGATTCACGTATGTGCATGAATATCTCTTAGCAGACAACCGCCATTATACTTTCTATTTGTGGAGAAAGATTTTCCAGAGGCACTGGTCTGTGAAATACCTGTGCATGCCATGCTATTTTTATGGTGCATCTCTAATATACCATCATTTGTCAGCAAGAAATTCAGGCTACTTCATCATATTGCTCTTACTTTGCACAACAATGGTAACAGTTCCGCAAAAACTTCTAGAGTTTAGATATTTCATCATACCGTATTTACTTATACGTCTCCATTTTCAATTGCCAAGTTATTTTTCATTAGCCATGGAGTTTATACTGTATGGACTAATAAATGGAACAACTATTTTGCTATTCTTATACAAGCCATTTTATTGGGAAAATGAGTCAGGAATCCAAAGGTTTATGTGGTAATTACAAAGTTAATTTTGTTCTTAACATAGCTTACAACTTGATCATGCAACTTAATTTAGACACTGTTTAATGTGAATTTCTCATTATATAGAACTATCATCCAACTGTAGTTATTAATTTATTTCAAGTTGCTTCCTTTCAAGTCACCCCTCAACCACTAAATGTAGACATTCAATGTTCATGGGAAATATTGAAACATTAATGGGAAACAATATAGTGGGGTTAAGTCACCAAGTGGTTGGAGTAGTTCCCTGCATTGCTTGAAAGGTCGAATCTGATCCAGGTTTCACCCATGACTTACCTCCTGTCCACCCTGGAGCAAACAGCTTCCTAAAGTCATCCAGGCTTAAAGACTCATTGCTAACAATGAGCGATTGCGCTACGCAAGCATCTTGTTAGCCCAGGGCAAGTGCCCTTTTTAACAACAAATTCCCCTACAAATGAATTGAACTTTTACCACTTGTGCAGAAAGGCTCAAAACAAAGGCTTGTTGGTTTGAGTCTTTATAATGACCAAAGCATCTGCAACAAAATGCTAATTATTTTCCATTATAATCAATCGTTTGAAACAAACTACATCATCAGGAGTTACCTATGATATGTAAATGAAAGAGTAAATAAACTCATTTCCCTTGCATTTAGCCAAATCATTACACACCCAGGTCTAAGTCAACCCTTTTCAATTTCATGATAATTTTGCATCTTCAACCCCAACTCTTAAATAACCACAATCTTAAAATGTATCAAGAAAAGCTATTACATTATAGCTGTTGTTATCAAACCTTTGCTACAAAATAATAAGCAAGTTATGATCATAAAAGATTATCAATCATTTGTCAATCAGATTGTCATAAAAGATTTCCACTAAAGCTGGTAGTTTTCCCAATAAGCCCAACTCAGCTGCACAATGAGTTTTCAGCTAGGGGAATTATAATCTCTTGTTGAAATTGAAACTTGTGTGGCCTCCATTTTGGCAGTAGCACTTTTAATGGCAGAAATTTGATAATGGAGCAAATTAAATTTTTCAAGGTAGCAAATAAATCAAGGTAGAAAAAGATGTTTGAATGCTTGGTGTATCTTTACTTAAATTATGTTTATACAGGACCAGTAAATGTTTACCTTTGGCAGTCATGTAGAATAAAATATATGACATCCATATGATGAGAAAAAAGTTGATTTTTATCTTCCTAGAAATATATCTTATTTGACCAACAATTCTTGTTAAAAAAATTGGCTGTAGTTAGTTGAATATGGTTTGCATTGTTGTTCTATAGTTTGCTAAAAACATCATTGCTAATTTATGTAATGTTAGGTACTTTGCAATTGATGTTGTATCCATAGGCGTAAACTCAGGGGGGGGGGGGCTCTGGGGCTTCAGCCCCTCCTGATAAAACCGAAGGGGGGCTGAGCCCCCCCTGGAAAATAAGGAAGTGCTTTACCAATTTTAGATTAGTTTGTTATATTATTGGTTTGACGCATAAGATTTGTTGCATTAGATAATTGCGTTATGAAAAATGCATGGAAAAATCACCTTTAGGCCCTTAGCTAATCCACTTTCTATCCTGTGACATCAGCAGCTGCCATTAGGATTTGTCATAAATTTTTTGAGCCCCCTCTGAAAAAAATGCAAGTCTATGCCTATGGTTGTATCTTACAACCAGTAAGTTTTATTTAACCATATATGAAACCTGGTTTGCTACAACTAGTGTACTTCTCAAAAAGATATTAAAGCCATTATTGATTAGGAAATTCCAACATTATAAAGTAAATCAGCTTAGTTATCATATAAGCATAGTTCATGATGACAAAGCTAACCCTTTGTTGAATGAAGCAAGTCATAGAAGCAGAAATGGGCTACAAATGCTGGTCTATGTGTGCCTTTTCTATAAATATGTCATTATATGAAGAAAGCAAAAAAGACAATTTTTACATTAATCATATTGAAATATCTTTGATTAGTATTTCTCAACAAATTTTGCTACTTGTAAAGAAATTATAGGCAAAAGCAAGAAGTGTGTAGAAAGTAATTGTATCAAAGAAGTTCTGACAGTACTTAAAATCTGTCTATGATTAGTTGTGAAAAACCAATATTCAATATAACCTCAGAAATCTAAATATTCAATTCAAATTTCAAAGGGGTTTTCTAAACATTGTCTGCAAGCTTTCTTTTGACAGCAAATTCTTTATTTGTTGACTCTTCAATCTGTAAACTGAATTAATCTGTTATTCAGAGCCAGAGTTGCTGTCTACCAAACATATGAAGTTCCATCAAACTGTTACTCAGATTTACTCTATTATTCCATTTAATACAAAACCCAATCCTCTTGTTTTCTTGAACAAGGAGCTGCCTTATCTTTTGTACTCAACCCAATCATCATCCACTGCAATTCCAGTTATCCTTCCAGGCACTTTCTTGTCATTCAGCTCTATATTTGGGTCTTCTTCAATCAGCAAATAGCACTTGTTTATCTGTTTAAGGGGGTCGATCTTTCCAGAAAGGCCGTTTAATGTTGCCACCTTAACATCACCATTATCTGTGCTTAGGTAGTACGTCAAAGATTCACCTTCGAAGTTTGCTCTCGTCACGTGATACTCTTTGTAACCTACAATGAAAGAGTTTGAGCTCAAGTACCTAATCAATGTACTTATAGTAATTATCTTATGACAAACTTAACATTAACCATATCAGATATATGATCTCAGCTTTCAGAATATATCTTAGGGGTGTATTGCTATCAAGATAATAAGGGGGAGGCTATGGCACAAAATGTTGCAGAAAACAATAGCCAAAGTACAAATTGGCTACTTCTCACCTCGGACACTACATCCGTGATTTGCAGCACCACGGTCGAATTGAGGGAGAACCAAGTCTGAGAAATGGCTTCTTTTCAAATTTGCCTATATCAAAGAGCTAAAACCCTGAGGAAGTATCTTTCACTTCCTACGAACACATATTGTCTCAACAATCATGTTAAGGCATTCAGGATTAAAGCAGGGGTGTAGAGCTAGGGGGGCTCAGGGGGGCTGAGCCCCCCTTGTTGATGCCGAAAATTGGCAAATCTCTTTATTTGCTATTGTTTTTCGCGATATTTTGGGCAAGAGCCCCCCTTGTTATTTTGATAGCACTACACCACTGGATAAAAACCATTAGGCGTATAGGTAACCTGACTTAGTGCCACTGAGCCTACTAAACTTCTTGATTTCTTTAAGCAAATTGATTTTTAATTGTATCAAGACATTAAGTTAAGTATTATTTATTGAAGTTGGATTCTTGAGGATGAATAGGCTTTGATACTACTTTTCAACCTATTATAAACACGTTCAATGTCGCGTTCAGCGAATATTCAGAACAAAAATGTCTAAAGATTTCAAAGTCAATGAATGACGTTATGTCTACCATTAGCATTATCCCTGTTAAAGTTCCGACTATTTGAACGCATTTAAAAAGAAACTGAAAAGGCCGCAAAACATCTCAACAAGATGTGTCTGAATGACACGGACGTTGCACTTGGGCTTTATTTTCAGACTTCTTCTTAAGCATATTAGATTACCTGAGACGAAATAATTGAAAGTTTTAAAAGAAGTGTTTATGTAGGCATATATGGAGGGAAAATATGAAGGTAAGCTAGTGGAGTAAGGAGTATTTCTCCCTCAATTCCAGATATGCAGTCATATTTAATCCATGGTAGATAACCTTTACAGGAAAATGCTGCACAGCAGACAGGCCAACAGTCGTCACAGGCCTGTGACAAACAGTTTAACACCGTAACAACAACAATAATATCGCCTCAGACGTCGCCTTGCTTCCTTCATTCTAGGTCCCTATCAGCAAGCTTGATATCACCCCCCCCCTCTCCTTAAACTTCTCCCTCCTTTTCCTTGTTAGGGCTTTACTACATACTATAATGACCGACATTGACCTTCACGATTAGAGGCATGGATGGTCATTAGAAGTAGATTATACCGCCGAAAACAAGGAGAAAGAAGATTTTGTACCTATTTTACCACACCCGCTCATGCGCACCTGGCAATTAGTATATATAGGCCATGCGCACCTGGCAATTAGTATATATAGGCACGAAGAAGTTTATTAAGGCTTCTGGAAGAAGTCAATTATGTTATGAGACCGAGATATTAACAGTTAAGAGAATATAAGAACTGTATTATTGACCTAACGATGAAATGAGGCACGTCTTTTTGGTTGAGCAAACCATACCCCCTTGTCACAGAAATAGACCACGCGCAATAATGATTCTTCACAATGCGCGTGCTCCTTAATGCAAAGACGGGAGATGACTTATTTGATATAAGATTTTGTTTGTTAATCTCCAAGCCAATAATGTATAAGAAAATATTTTTTGGGTGCTTTTTACCACTAATCAATCGCTGTTACTGTCTTACTTCATTCGATTCCTCATTTGAATTACGAATAATGTAGCTCTTATTAATCCTCTTTATCCCTGGCTTATAATAATCGAATGACTGTTGAGATGCCATTGCTTGTCACTAATGTGAAGGGGCTTTGCACAAAACAGGAGAGTGAAACAAACATGTTTATCGTTACAGCTCTTCTGTCCCAGTTCGTGTTGAGATTATAGTTTGGCTGCCAATACACCGATTTCTAAAACTCTTTCATCCTAGTTTCAGAAAACACACATTTTCATTAGAAGGATGCTCGCGATTATTATTTTTTTCTTGATTTTGGTGCTTAAAGTTTTTAAAGTTTTATGAAGGTAACATAAAACTGAACACCCAATATGTTGCATGGAACACTTAATTCTGTTATCTTTCTCAATTGAAACATAAATTGGTACCTAATCGTCTAAAAGAATCTTTTCAATCCGATCCCAAGAAATATTTACGAGCAGTTTCTTAAAGTCGAGTACTATGGTGTGTTCTTTTTTAGTTATAATAGAGTCAGTCTTTATACAAGGTTTCTTTAAAAAATGCATGTTAGTGGAGATTCACAGAACGTTTTGCCATGAACACGGTCCTTTTTCAAATCGCCCGTCTCTCTATTGTATCAGGTATGTGGAAATACTAGATTAAAATATTTTATTTTGGTCAGTCGTTAATCGAAAATCCATTCAACAAACTTTGGAATTCAAGGTGTGGTCATAATAGGGAGACATGAAAAGATTTGATAGTGGCTCCGTCTTTAAAAAAATCCAATCACTTAAACATCGTCTTGTACTTCGGGCGTAGCCTAACAACACTCGAAGTGATCCGAGCCTTGAATTGATAGCAAATAAACGATTCCTCAGTAGGAACTGCTAAATAATAGTTTATACAGCTTGGGATATCAACATATTATTCACCACATTATCTTGAAAGGAAAGTGGAAGAGTGGGAGTGAGAGAAAATAAGAAGAGAGATCGTTGCTGTTTTTTATTTATCTTTGTCTTACTAGGGATGCAAGGAAGTTGAATTATCGACTTTGCTAATTTTGGTCATTCTTTACAATAAAATACAGAATAAGATAAAAGTCAGATGTGGATTTAGCAGGGGATTGGGGGGGGGGGGCTGTCACAACCAAGGGGCGAATGAAACGTCTAAACTTGAAGCGGGGTCAATTTTGGAAGGACACCAATTACTGTCACCTGCCACAAAAAAGAGCTGACAAAAAGGGCAATGTGAAGAAAGAGAGAAACAAATTCTTCTTAAAGGCAATTTTAAAAACCATGGGGGCATAGTATCCCTCGTGTTATCCCGGTTTCTACATATATGGTCACTCCCAATCTTCGGCTTGTAACTCCGTATTGGGTAAATTTATATTTCATGTATCCCACGTATAATTACTTTAACTATTATACACAATTCGGTAACACGCAAATATCTGTAGCAGAAACCCCAGCCCCTCCAATATTTTACCCTAAATTTTCCAGTGGCAATAGCTTCCCCATTTCCCGTTTAGTAATCGATAGTATTATTTATCAAGCTATTATTCATTTGGTTTCTTCTTTTAGTATAATTAAAAAAGTATAGTGAACCAATGAAAATACTAGAGAGAATATAGCTTCTTACATGTACTTGAATAAATATACTTAAGTATATAAAAAAAAGTGTGTTTGTCCGGCATGTCCGTATTATACTAGGACACCAGCAAGGCATATAGAGGATATTCGAAAAGGGGGTTAATCCATCCAGGGGGGTTAATCTATTCAGGAGGCTCATCTATCCAGGGGGTTTATCTATCCAGTGTCTTCATTACATTTGCAACATCCCATGTATCTCTTGTTGTATGTTACCTGCACTTCATAAAATCCAAGGTTTTGAGTCAATACCCCCTATTCCAGTCTTAGGTGCTAATAAACAAGTATAAAAAGATGCAAGAAAGAGATAAAACTTACCAAGTTTATTGAAGTCATTGGGGATGTCACCTTTCTTTTCCCAAAATTGCAAATCCAAGTGATTCGAAATACTGAATAAATCCATTCCTAGAAAATAAAAGTAGCATGTTTAGTATTTGAAGTAATTAGTGATACAACCCAATGAATGGATAGAATTTTTGGGGGTCCAAAATTCTATGCATTTGGCACAAAAACTTTCGCTGTATCGAAGGAAATTTCTTTGAACGTTTAGCCATGTTTATGATTGTTTGTTTGTTCACGTTTCCATCTTGATTCTCTTTGATCTCCAAGTGACAAAAAGCAGTTTTTCATACGACCTGTACCTAACTTCTGTTTTTCATACGATCTAGACCCGACTTTTATTTCAATAATTGATAGTATGGGTGCTTTATCTTTCTTCAACTGATCCCCGCGGTTTTCCTTCTTTTGTGTACGTCTAACTAAGCGACACTGCTTTCTATCGTAACAAAAAAACGTCACGCTGGGAAAATGACCTTACTGGTTGAATCTTGTGCAAGTATTAATAAGAAAGATTTATATAATAGTTATTCTACTAAATACAACGATGGATTTCTAATGTCCGTCATATTCTCAAAGTAAACAAAAACTGCTAAACCGATCATAGATTCACCCAACATCTCCAGTGTGTCATTATGAAAATAAATGAATTTCCCATTTATAAGTCTTCCTTAGAACCTTCATACCAAGTTACAGACTTTGATTCAGCTACACTGTTTTTGCTTAAGAATCCTGCCTAAATTCATTGAACAATTCCCAGATATTCGGTGGAGATGACCAACAGACAAAACAATAATCTTTACGTTACCTCTAGCCTCTGTTACCAAAACTTCATTCAAATAATGACTTGCAAAATCTTTCGCCCTAACGCCAGTCCACCTTAAAACAAATGATAAGGTATATGTAATGGCCTCTGGCGGATGAGTGAGATCCTTATTGGATTCTCATTTTTGTAGCCCTTGCGTGTAATTAAAATCCTAGCAATTTCAGTTTAATAGTATTCGCAGAATTTTGCCTCCCTCATTTTTATTGTCACATAGAAAGGCCGCGTTGCTGGTAAACCCTGAGCCCGCAGCACTGGTGGCTGGATTACAACCACAGATATCAAAACGATAACAAGATTAAAACCTAGATTCAATGTAAGAATTTCCAATAAAGAGGAACTATCAAAACTTTGTTTCATAACATGCATTTAAAGCGTAGCTAGCGAAGAATTGTTGTGTTAGTTGGAGACATGTAGAGAGTATAATTTTCTTTTTTTTCCCTGTTAATTGACAAAGATAAAAAAGGGCCCTTGCAATGGTCCTACAAGCTGTTTATAATTTATGCTAAAATTTTGTGTCTTAGACTGTGGGTATTCAGCTTTTTCAGCTGTAGTTGTTTGATTGGCAACCATTACTCAAAAGCTCCATCGGGGTACTGCAACTTGTAATTATAAGGAATGTAGAATTTAGAGATGAAAGAGGGGACGCGATGGTGGTCTACGCAGGTGGTAAGGGGGCATACCACATAACTGCTGGAAAATCATACAGGGGTCTTGTCCTCTTTGACCATGCCCAAAAGATGTTCAAATTTAAAGCAACTTGGTACATTCTAAAAGTGGTGCCTTGACCTTTCAATCAACTGTGAACGATTACTCTACGCAAAATATACAAGAGTCGTCTCTTTCAATGTTTGCTGAAGATGAGGTATATGATTTATTGATAAGAAAATTTGCAATGACACTCAGTCATCATGAATGAAGTTTCAGACTTTCTTCCTGCTAAATAATGGCGTAAAGCCAGATCGATATCAGCTGACTTAATAAATTTCATCTACAATGTATCAATGATATGCTGGCTGGCACCTCTGACGGATGTTTCAAAGTTTCCAAGTCTGTTATTCAATATGGCGTATCTTTAATGGCTTTTATTCCTCAGCCTTTTAACGAGGGCTTTATCTTTCTTAAGCTGCTCTTATTCCTCATCTTTTTCCTCATCTTTTTCCTAATACGACAGTCTGAGTCCCGACAGGCGTCAGTCGAAGAGGGCGTCGTTGTTCTGGAACCTTTTCGCGAATTTCATCCTTGCAGAAGTTTATCCTTTCTTGTTTCAGACTTTGACTTGATTTATTTTAATTTCAACAGATACAATCCCTGGTGCTTTACATTTCGTTTTGTGCTTTCACGCCCCTGTTATTTTAAGTAATGTAATGTAATGTAATGTAATGTTATGTTATGTTATGTTATGTTATGTTATGTTATGTTATGTTATGTTATGTTATGTTATGTTATGTTATGCTATGCTATGTACTGTTATGTTATGTTATGTTATGTTATGTTATGTTATGTTATGTTATGTTATGTTATGTTATGTTATTTATGTTATGTTTGTTTTGTTCTGTTCTGTTATGCCATTTTGTATGTTTTGTCATATTATGTTAAGTTATATTATATTATGCATAATATATTATATCATATCAATATATATTAATTGGAAGGTATATATAAACTAAAAGCATTACGTTGAATGCATAGTTTAAAAAAACGTGACGGGAACATGGTTAATTTTTGGGTTGTCTTGTACATAATATTTATCTTATATGTATAATTTTTACATTGCTCATTGGTAGACTTCTATTCAATATGCTTTTCGGTTCAAGTGAAGGTTTCTGCCTATCATTTCAAAACAGGACGTTGAAGACAAGAAAACAACGAGAAATATTATCCGTTTGCTAAAAAATGTGTGAAATTGTCATGAAAGATACACACGAACCTATTTCTAATTGTTTTCTAATAAAGTTCCTACCCGAAGAAAAACCCTATGGGACTGTTTGCGTAAATTCAGATACAAAGCCTATTTTTATTAAAAATTGGCCATACAGGTGCCCTATTAGACAACAATTACCCAGGGTATTGCCTCTGATTGTCGGTAGGAGTATATACCAAAATAACATACCTAGAGGGGCAAAACTTCACGTAAACACATAAATTTACGGAACCTTCATGTTAAAATTAGTCTGTGCCAAAAATTTCAAATTGTTTGGGCCGTCAGGCTGCGAATTAACCCATTTTCAAAATTTAGCTTTTCCTATACATTTTAATGGAATTTGTTGCTGCAGTGAAACTCTAAAGAAATATCTAAATATTCGAAACAAAGTAACATGCGAACGAACGGTCCAAACAACATGAATTCTGCAGTATAGACTAATTTAAAGATGAAGATTTCAATTCTGAAGTCCTTTTTTCGAAAAAGATCCGTAGATAGCGAGATACAAAATAGATGACGTCAACTTGAATCCATCAATACGTTTTAACAGAGATCTTTTCCTTCAAAAAGCTAGCTTTGCATGGATTAGGCAGTAGGGGTTTCAAATTCACCACTCAGGAGTTCTCTATCGAATTGGAATGTTTCTTGTCATTTATTCATAAAAGAACATATTTTCTGTATAGGGGATTTTATTGAGCATTTAATCCTATCGTGCATATTGTAAAAGGATTATGAATATCTTGCATAGCGCTTGGATTTTCTTATTAAGATAGACTTATAAGCATAATGCTTTGAAACAGTATGATGCCACAGGGAAGCATAGGCTGATCTGTTTGTTCTCGTGCATTTGTGTTCTCTCTATGACGTAGCGTTTTGGAACGGTAGTTCCCGTTGGCACAAGCAGGGATGTTTTAGGATAAACTCTTTTGGTTGTTATTGTGATTAGCCTAACAATGATTGCTGATGATTGATGATGATTGGTGATGATGATAATGATTGAATAGGGTGATTGATGTCGATCATGACAATTATCATGATGACTAATTGACGTTGATCATAATGATGATGATGATGACGATGGTTATGATTACTTCTACTAACTATGAAATTTATGATGAATATAATAATCATGATGATTATTATAATGACTGTGTCGATGACAATGATGTCCTTGGTGGTATATTTTACGTTAAAAAACCAAGAGCTTGACAAATTACCTAAAAGCAGCTTCTCATCAATAGACTCTTCGCCATATTTTGTTTAGAATCGCAAATAGGACTAAGTCAATCCGCTTATGGAGCACAAATCTCATTTCGGTTGCCTTACAATTCTGATATGTGGTTTGAGCCGAAATCCAGCAAACGCAACACCAAAGTCGCGGTAGCAGATTACAGTTAAACATGTAAAATCGAAGTTTCATTTGGAGTTTTGTGTACCTTTACCCGCTGGTTTGGTTCAACTACGACGACACAACCGATAAACCGCCGAATCGATTTCTTTGTCTGCCCATATTAGTATTGTTGGTAGAGTCTCCGAGGAGATACTTCACAAAAGCCATCATGGACATATAATTTTCGTTTTTACAACGCCCTTTCAAAATTATGTTGTACTTCAAAGGTGCTAGGAAACATCAAAGGTGCTAGGAAACATCGCTATGTTTATTTGTCAAGAAAGAATGATAGTTTGTTTGATTCGATGTGAACGTCATTGGTGAACATCAGGGTTTGTTTGAAGGAATTTTTATCACTGCAGACAGAATTTTTGAAAATTTCGGTGTCGCCTTTTGAAAGTTTTCATGACCGCACCCATCAAACTAAATGTATGTGAAACTATCGAATTACACCAGCTCTCACCCAAGAGATTGTGGTCTAGGTTGAAACATGTTTTCGAGAATAAAGATTTGAAATAAGGGATCATGAACAAAACAAACTAGCTTTTAGATACTGAACAAATTTCAGAGAGATTTTGTAGCTTATGATTATTGTTACTGTTATGTTCTCATTTTGAATATTGTAAGGTTTTTTATAACTTTTATGTGTCTACTGGTAGTTGCTGCAATTTTTCTTTTTGAATGCCAAATCTCTTTATTTTAGTTTTATCACTGCAAACAATTTGAGTTTATCACTACACAATTACGATTTATCATTGAACATCTTGGTTATCACTGCACGTTAAAATAGACCCTGTGTAACGTTGCAATGAAGGTATAAATTGAAGCTAATTTACCAGTAACAAACTTCTCCAAACAGTTTAAACTTCAAAAATGTGTCGTTGAGCTCATCTGCTTTGATAAACCAGTAAATAAATTTAAGCGAAGAGAATTTAAAACCAAGACGGAATTTTCTGTAAAGATATTACGTCACGGTTGCAACTCGCCCCAGTCCTCTGTTTTCTGCCCAGTGTGGTACAATAAATCAAGTTTCTCTCTATCTCTGTCTTTACTTCCACCTACTATTTTATGAAATTTTTTGAGTCAGGCTTTGACTTTAAATATATATGTTGTCGATCAAATACTTCGAAGAAAGGCTTAAGAAACTCTAGTATTTCATCGGTGGTAAACCGCCAATGTGCGTTCTCTTCTCAGATCAATTAAAGCGAAAAACGTCTACTCAGACAAATTGTACCAAAGATGTGAAGCATCCTGACAGTCTTCTGGTTAGAGCAAATATCAAATTTTCGATTTTTATCCAAAGAATGTCCTTTCCTTCCTGCGGTTAGTGTATAACTGATTCTTATCAATGTCAGCCTACCACAATCTTATCGCCGAATGATTTCAATTGAAAGAGAAGCCTAACCAAATCAGATCCATACTTGTCAGTCATCTCAGTAAACAGTCCTACACAGTTGCTTTACGGATGGGGTTAATGAATTACTTTTGCTATGCAAGCCCAAAGTTTTATCGGTATGGAGAGAAACTGTTCCCAAGTATATAAAACTGATCAATTCCTTTGGGGCAAGAGGAGCTCCTAGGTTGCTGACAAGAACCACGAATCTATATACATGTCAATCTGAAGGTCCGTGCAGATATCTGCTCTTCTTATTAAAAAACAGACGTTTATCAGATTGTACTCTATCTCAAAGATTTCATAACATTAGCAAAAGAACAACATTGATGGCACATCGCTAACTGGT